AAACTAAAATCCAACAATGTATACTTTTTTCCCTCTGGTGCAACCATATAAAATTAACTGCACTTCAAATAGCAAGTGTTAGTATGGAAGGACACAAACTGAGACACACCATATGTTCACCATTTTTGTTTGTGCTAATTAACACTAAACAGTAACAAGGTATAAGGCTGAGGCTGATTAATGTTGCAGGTATTTGGGTTGTAAACTAAAGCATTGTACATATTCTAATTTTGATCTAGAGGTTCATTAAAGTCAGACGGATTTATCGTCTGGGGGCCGTGAATGTCTGTACAAAATTTTATGTCAATCCATCAAGTAGATGCTGAGTGATGCCACTGGATAAGTAAAAAGTTTGACCTGCTGGTGCCTGTGTACCTGAGGCTGAAAACAATACTCTGCATGTCCCAAAACCTTCATTAGACCCTCCCTGTCTGGTAAACGTCCACATCTTTTAAACTCCACACCCCCAGTTTGTAACCCAGGCTTTCTGTTCCTCCGGAGCCACAAGAGATATGAAGTCCCCTTCAACCATCTTAACTAAATGCATAAAACCGAAAGCTTATCTAACCTCTGCCCAGAAGCCAACTCCCAACCCTCCAACACCTTTTGTTAAAAAGCGGGGACGAAGGGAGACTGAACTCATTTCTAAAGGTCCAAATGTCAAACTGGTCCTCACAAAAATATAGGTACACTCACAAACACAGTCACACACACACACACACACAGTATCTCTCATCCACGGCTCTTGTTTGCCCTCTAGTGGGGAAAAACAGAGCAGCTTTTTATATCTGTGTGAACATGGCTTTGAATTCGGCTCATTAATTTGCTGCTTTTCAAGTCATTCTGTAATCCTGTAATCTACTGACGTGTGGTTATCTGCTAATTAACTGGAGTGCTCCTGATTAGACAGAAATAATATGAACAAATCTGCCGTCACTTATTTAATTTGTCTGTTTAGTTTTAATGGCACCGTTTAAGTTTGACTTCTGCCTGAGGGACATTTAGAATATTTAGAAGTTCTGCTTTGATGACATTTAGATTGAGAGGAATTTTTGGACCGTTATCGACCACTTTGACATCCTGTAAATGATCCCTGACTAACCTGAGTTAATATGATGATTATTTAAGGGGGCAGCTCCAAATGTGCACTGCAAAGTGACCCTTCATTGGACAACCAGGCTGTGTATAGCAGATGTGCTGGTATTTGTTTTTCCCAAACATTGGAACATATAAATATTCAGTTATAATAGTGAAAATCATACATTTATATGATTAAATAAAAAAATAACCAAGAGAAGAAGAGTTCCTTTTTTTAGTATTTCTAAGGGAAGTATTTCTAAGGGAAGTACTTACGCCAAGTACCTGTAAATCCACACAGAGTTTTTCTTTGTTTTGGCAGGACTGTGATTTACCGACAGCTTATTTTGTTGTTTTTGCATGATAAACAGCAGAGATCTTATCAGGCACAATAACTGAAAACTAAGGAGTGAATACTGTATCTAAAGAGTACTGCAGCTTAACTTAAACTTAACTAACCTTTCAGAACAAGTCCTGAAGAAAAATTATAAAGGTAACCAAATCTGTTTTTTGTTTATTGACTGTTTCTGTATGTTGTAATGCAGCTGGACTGACACTAGAGGGAGCTAGTCAATCACGAATCATAAAACCCTGACAGGGTTTAGGTAGTGTAATACAGCAGCTTTAATTTATCTATATTTACTTTGAAGGTTTATGACATACTAGTCTATGACATATTTATTTATATTTTATATATAATTAACATAGTATAGTAAGTCAAAAAATATCATAAAAAAGTCAAAGAATATTAGGTTAACATAACATGACATTTTTTTAACGTTATGTTGACATAACATGATATTTTTTTACATTCAACACTATAACATTTTTTTTTTTTAATTCTTTTGACATAATAAACTGTTTTGTTTTTTTTTTTTACAAACTCTACTATGACATTTTAAGGACTTTTACTTCCAAAATCTGAACTATAGGATTTTTTACATGCTATACTTTGACTGTTTTTATACTATGACATTATTTATGTCATTGTTTTTCAACACACATGCTTTACTGTGATGCTTTTTTCATAATTTTTACAACATAATATACGATGACTCTTTTTAATGACATTTGATGACATACTTTACTGTGATGTTTTTTAAAAGGTTTGTGAATGACAAACCTTACTGTGTGTTTTAAAATGATTTTGGACGACATACTATACTATGATGTTTTTTCATCATTTTGGATGACATGCTATACTATGACTTTTTCATGATTGTGGACGACATACTACTATAATATGACTTTTTTTTCATCATTTTGGACGACATGCTATATTATGACTTTTTTTCATCATTTTGGACGACATACTATACTATGATGTTTTTTCATCATTTTGGATGACATGCTATATTATGACTTTTTTTCATAATTGTGGACGACATGCTATACTATGACTTTTTTTCATAATTTTGGACGACATACTATACTATGATTTTTTTTCATCATTTTGGACGACATACTATACTATGACTTTTTTTCATCATTTTGGACGACATACTATACTATGATGTTTTTTCATCATTTTGGATGACATGCTATATTATGACTTTTTTTCATAATTGTGGACGACATGCTATACTATGACTTTTTTTCATAATTTTGGACGACATACTATACTATGATGTTTTTTCATGATTTTGGACGACATACTATACTATGACTTTTTTTCATCATTTTGGACGACATACTATGTTTTTTCATTATTTTGGACGACATACTATACTATGATGTTTTTTCATAATTTTGGACGACATGCTATACTATGACTTTTTTCATAATTTTGGACGACATACTATACTATGAGGTTTTTTCATTGTTTTGGAAGACATGCTATACTATGACTTTTTTTTTCATTATTTTGGACGACATACTATACTATGACTTTTTTTCATCATTTTGGACGACATACTATACTATGACTTTACTGTGTGACTATACATGACCTTACTATGTACATCGGTTCAACATTGGGGGGCCCAATTCGATACTTCCCGAAAGCATGGTAATTACATCCCAGCAGTAAGTCCAGCTGGTATTCCCTCATCCAAGAGTGCTAACCTTCAACTGTGAAATGTTGAAAAACATGAACTTTCAAGTGGTAGTTCAATGTTTGTCCCAGCGATGACTCATTTGTTCTTCTCTTACTTCAGAAAATGTTTCCTTCAGTTTTCCACTCACAATGAAAAGCAGCACACAATCACTGTTCGATAATTCTGTTTATTTTCAATATACATTTCATTTGAAAAATATAAATTCTAAAATAAACCATTTCACCTGTTTCTAAAAAGTCACAAAAAGTTAATCAAAACAAATGTATCAGTATTTATTCCATATGCTAAAATTAACATCATTAACAACTTTTTCACTTGATGTTGTAGATTTTTGTCCGACATGCTGACACACAGTACAACACACTTTAAACTAACAACTCCCCACATATAATATGTCTCAGACATTAAGTCACACTTTTTCCCACTCGCTGCTGTTGACGACTAAAAACACTGATGTGGAGAATAAATTGCGTCGTTACTTCAGCTAATGAACTGAAATTAACTGACAAAAACAAATTCAACACAATGAACTGTGAGGGTACAAAGTTGTTGCATTTTGGTTTGAGCCCACATGCCTTTATGTACATGATTTACACAGGACAAAGGCGGCTCGTTTATCACATAGTTTAATTTTATCTTTATAGTGGTGATGAAGACAGAGGACTTCCACTGAAGACTTAAATATCCAAGTGAGAAAGTGCTTCAGTGTGCCCTCTACGGATAAAGTGTGGGTACTGTCATGATGAACAGTGCTTCAGTAATACTGGCCAGAAAAAGTCGTCAGATCTAAGAGGCTCGATTTTTCTTCTTTGTGACTGTGGACTCACTGGTCACTCTGTGGGAAATACAGTGAAATACTTCGTACAACATCCTCTGCCTCATTTTAGCAGATTGAAATTAAGCACTAAAAACAACTGTGGATGTTTTGTTTTAATGATGAGTTTGGATTTTTAAAATATTAAGCTATCGTACGCTGTTATCATTTCTCCTCTCCATACTGGCTGTGAAACAGTATCTTTCTACTGTTACTTCACTGTAAAAAGATGGGGAACAAAATTTACAATCAATTCGCAAAAGTGTATTTTACAGTTAGCTGAAGTCTTTTGAGCCAAATCAAGAGGGTATTCCCCAAAATTGTGGTCTGTTTAATCCGAAATTCTCACACTGTTTCTTGACACAACAACTACTTCAATGTGCACTGCAATAGTGACAACTTGAAAAAGTAACTGTCCAATTGGAGCATGGGTTAATTATCATGAACAAGCTGCAAACTTCAGGCTTGTAAGTAGAACTGCTTTACAACTTTTAAAATAATCAGCCACTAATTCAAGAATTAATTAATCGGATTGAGTAATTTTTAAAGAAAAAAAAAAAGATGACAGTGATCGATAGCTCCTCAGTGTACATACAGTACTGCGTGAGTGTTATATAGACAGACTCTTTATATAAAAAATCCAAACCCATCGTTTTACACATAACACAAAAAGAAATGTGTGATCCCATTTTCACATCAGATCATTCCAACAGCAGCTGACACGAAAATAAACAAACCTGCTGCGTGGAGCTTACGTGGATTTGATTCCCTCCTAATCCCTTTATCACATCATTACCATAATAATTTCAGTCTGGATCGATCTCTTATAAGCCACTTCGGTAAAGTAGTTTGTGCAGCACAAGCGATTTATATGATATGCATTTCTAGTTAGAGTTTAAGTTTGGCTGAGGAAAATCAGATGATTATGAATCGCTGAACTGTTTTCTACCCACAAAAAAAGGAAGAAAAGGACATAAGAAAAAGTTACCAACATACACACAAAATAATCATTAAAAAAAGAAAAAACAAAAAAAAAAAGAAATGATTGAATTTAAAAGAGTAACAAAAGCTTTGAAGTGAACACGTAAAAGAAAGATTCAGAAAATTAGAAAGAGAAAGTGGAGCGATCAAAACTGCATCAAAAAGTGATAATAAAAATATTTACCTCATCTGCACATACAAATGTGCATTGTTAATTAACTGTTAATTAACTTAATCTATTTGCACACGTTTCCTTCACAAGCTATAATACAGTGAATCTCTTGAATCGTTTCAACTCTACAAGACAGAGAGAAAATATCAAAACCCCATGCTGCATCAAAAATCAACATGTTGCATTTGTTCATAAGCATTTAATCTAAAACAAGAGGTAGAGCTATAAAAACATAATTTTCCTGCTACAGGAAAATGTTATTAGAGTAATTCTGATTTATATAAAAATTCAGACGGATGATATTTATATATATTTATAAAAAAAAAAGAGCAGGGAGGGCATTTCATGCGCGGTCAGAGAGCTGCAGCATTTACTGTTGATATGTGGGAAGAGTTGCATAGACGAGTAGTAAGGAGTTACATTTATCTGTTTACTGTGAAGCTGTGAGAAAAAATACCGAGAAGACTGTGAGCAAAGAAATGGTTTTAAAATGGCTTCATCATTAGAAACAAAATTTTTTTTGTGTCGTGTTAGACCTTTCTTTTCTGTACGATAAACTCAGAACAAAGTTTTGAAATCATGAAGAGGATTCTGAGATTAAAAAGGATATTGTTGTTGTAAAGGAAAGTAAAAGTTGTCTTGCGGGTTCTGCAGGAGTCGCCTGGCGGTGGTTTGGTGCTCTACAGAGACGTTTCAGAGCCTCTGCCCCTCCAGTAGAAAGAATTATCATCGTCTGGGTCCATGTCTATTCTAATCTGAGGCACAGGCTTCAGCGGACTCATCTCAGGACTGAAACACAAAGAGATTTCATTGTTACGATGCATGCTACGTATAGGGTAGTTAAATTAAAGCAACACTTTGACAGTTTGGGGAAATACATCGGCTTACTCACTTCCTACTTCACATTTCCCTCCAGAAAAGGTTTGATACTCTTGGGTCTTTATTGTAAAATTTGTGGCTAGAGCCAGCAGCTGGCTAGCTTGTCCTTTCAAAGGATAATTCTGTTTTACTACAACTTGGATACATCAATACTGAAAACTTGCCAAAACTACAAAATGGCCCAAACTGTAAAAATCAGACCAAAATAATCCTTTAAATAAAGTTTAATCAATGTTTTATTATTAATGTCATCATAAAGTTTCAGAATTTTCTCAAAGCTCTGCAGGACAAACATCTTTTTGATATCTTTGAATTTTAAGCAACACAAAGTGTCCAATTGGAAATCTAAATCAGACTTTTAGACTCCTCCTTACATTAGTAGAGGATAAATAGTCTTAGAGCCTCTTTACACCTGGTATTAACATGCGTCTTGGGTAATCGGATCATAGGTGGACAGCTCTATGTCTGTCTGTTAACACCTCCACATGCGTCTCCAGTGTCCACTTGTGATCGGATCCACCTTCTCTGCTCTGTATGCAAATAAACACGTCCACTTGTGATCCAATCACCTGGGACACATGTTAATACCTGCCCTGTTTGGTTCGGTTCAATCTAACTCAAGTTCATTTGCCCTCTATGTGCGGTTCGTTTGGGCAGGTGTGAACATGGCAATCACACTCGGGTGTGCACAAAAAGAGAAGGTCCGGAAGGTCTCGGTCCGGTAACAAACTCCGGTGCGGTTTGTTTGTGGTGAGAACGTGTTCCGACCTCGTTCTGAACCAAACTGCAACTTTGTCTTGCAAGTGTACTCCTCTTCAACGTTACTGTAGGACACAATTCTGACCAATCAAGAGCAGTTTTCTCGCAGAACGCATTTGGTCTTGAATGCTTGTAAATGCTGCCGTGAGAACACGAACCAACCCTAGGCAATTATGCAACTTTGGAGCAAAATTAGTCCCAGATTCAGACAAAAGAAAGACAACTCTAGGTCTGAAAGCACCCTGAAATGTCTCTGTACTTTCAGGCAAGCAAAATCCCTGTTAGTGTCCAATCTTCAGAAAAGTGGTTAAGTGGTAGATCCACAAACATTTCATTGACAGTGCTGCTGATATTTAGTGTCACTTAGCCTCACTGATTGAGCTGAACCTTAGAGGTGCAGTGGTTGGATCATAAAGTAGCCTTTTGTGGGCTGTTAATAATAATTTGATGTGTTTATGAAGGCATTATAGAGATAAATCATTACTGTCTGCATTGCAGCAGTTTTGGTCTCTCAAGGCAGAAATATAACCAGTAATCAAGGTTTGATAGTTCCTGAGGTCATCTGAGCTCAAAGCAATTTGACTTCAGTCGTACTGGGGACAAGATTAGTTTTGGGGGCGGGGGAGGCAGCAGCGTAATGTCATCACTACCAGATTCATGCCCCATCTAACGTCACTGACTCTAATGGACACGTGCCCAGATCACTGAAATGTCTGAGGTCTTTAAAGTAACATGAGATCAAACTGAGAATCAGCTTTATCGGACAAGTTTATGTACAGATTCTTGTACTTACACAAAAAAGACATAACAGGTAAGAAGAAGGGCAGTAAAGGTAGCAAACAGGATTATTATGAAATAGGTGTGTATATAAATATATAGACAAAAAGCCCCAAAGTCCAACAGCATGGATAAAATGTCCATATTCTCTCGTTTATCTGCAGTTCCTGCCAGGGGATGAAATTAAGGCTGTTTTTTTATTCAGCATGGAGCCAGTTAACTTATATTAGGCAAACAATTCAAATCTGTCAGCAGAATATGTTTTGAGTCACCAGCCATGTGAACAAAAGCCAATCCATCACTCTATTAAAAAACAAACAAATCTCGTAAGTTGTCCGTTGGCATCACAGATGTGCTGCGATCACAGCTGCGTTTTCACACATTGTCCCAAAAAAATAATCCTCTTTTGTCAGCACTGTAGAGCAGATGGGTTAATACAGGACCATACCAGTGGATCCTGGTCATCATGGGAGGCTGGGGGCATGATGGAGAAATGTAATCTCTTCTTGAGCATCATAATCATCCCTGTAAATATCTGCATGAAAAAGGCTTGTTCCGCCTCTTTAAGACTGATTGTCTCCTCTAAAGCTCACATCAGTGAGGCACAATGTGTGTTCAACACGCAACAATCACTCGTCTTGATCCAGTGACGGTGTCGAGGTCAGTGATGAATCAAAGACTCGGATCGTTTTGGACCATTTTTATTTCCTCACTGTCCCCTTAGACTCACAAGTCAGTCTTTAGACGCTTTGCTTAACTAAAGAGTGATGTCTTTCTCCCTGATTTTGTGTTTAGATGGGCGGATACAATTTCAGAGTTTAAAAAAACTCCCTACGTTGCAGAACCAATAGTAAATCCGCAGGGCGGTCCTTTGGTGGCTCGCTGAACTCTTGTGCTCGTAAACATAGTCCGACTACGTTAAAAGTTTTAAACAAAGTCGCTGTAAGTCCTTCATTTCCACAATCTTGTGGACTGAGCACACGTTTGATAAAACAGAGTTAAATCTCTCGGCATCCATTTTGAAGCTCACTGTCTGTTTGTTTCCTTGCGGACGAGAAAAGGGGGAGCGAACATTTCCGGGAGGAAATGCCAGCCGTTTTCTCCATTGTGTTAAACACACTTTAGAAAGGAGTGTCCCCAGACTATCAGAAGGCGGAGATCTCTGATTGTCTGGTGGCGAGACTACTGTCCCCTAAATGTCGTATTGTGTTTGTCTGGATAAAATCTAAACCTGCAAAAAGTCTAAAATCCTCATCAGGTAGACAAAAACATGACTCTTAATGAATGATAGTGTTTCTCCACAACAACAGGACGTGTAAATGACAACTGTTTTCACCATATCAACTTAAAAGGTGATGACAGATCAATGTTGTATTCACAAGTTTTTATGCTGCCTCTAAGTGGCCAAAAAAAAAAAAAAAAAAAAGAGTTATTGCATGTTAAACCTCCAGATGGACATCTGAGCTGAAGCATGGTGCCTCTGCTCCCCACTGGAAACATGCAGCTTAGCCACAGGTAAAGTAATTAGTCCAGCTGACCTTTAAAGTTCAGACCAGCATCATATGTTAGCTAGTTAGCTCGCTCTCTGATGTTTTGCGACCTTTGATGCCACAGTCATCAAAGAATTAATTTAAAAGACACTCAGTACCAGTTATATTTAGTTTTGTTCCTCTTTAACATTTAATTTGGTCCGTTAGCCAATAACACACACACACACACACACACACACACACACACACACACACACACACACACACACACACTCAACACACACATCTTACCTGGACAAGCAGTTGGCCTTGTAGTAGCGAAGCTGCTCAGCACGATGTGTGTCGTTCAAGGAATGATGGGGACTTGTCTCCTGTGGAGGAAAAAACAGTCATTAGCATGTGGATTTAGCCGAGCTTATATGTTTGGTCTGACAGGTTGAATCAGGTAGTGACATCAGCTGCTACGAGGGTTTGAAAGGATCGACAACCTGCAGACTCATGTACAGAATCTATTAGATTGTCTACTTAAGTTATTAAGTTTAATTTTTGACTGTTGACTGTTTGAGTGTTGATGGAGAACTTGTGAGTGTTGTAGAAACAGTGCTGTCTGAATTTATATCTTACTTGAAAATATATCGATATATCGTACATAGTCAATATATCGCCCAGCCCTGACAGCTTCCCATGCTAGGGATAAACAAAAACTGTATGCAGATGTATTTAAAGAAAAAAACTGTTTTGGTGAAGTCTTTCTATAAGTCAAGCTTTTATGATAAAATATTTTTATTATTACTTACTGGTAGTAGATCATTCTCTGCAGTTGCTTTGTGAGAATTAAATTGTTTTCACTTTAGTATGCAGTAATAAAGTAGATGTGAAGCCAGTGAGTTGATGTGGTACAAATGTTAACTGTTACTTGACCAACATATTTACATGTTAAAAGCAAAAGTTAGATGTAAGTGTGCCAATCGTCAGGCTGTTTTAGGTAAAGCTGCGTCCGTTTTAAATCAGTGGTGTCTACAACAAAATCCATGAAATGAACAATTAATATTTTAAAGCAGGTAGAGTGAAATAGTAAACTAAAGAACAAAAGGAATAGGTCAAGCAAGCAAGAATTTAAAGGGGGGAAGAAATAATATCATAGCATCACAATCTACGAAAAAAAAGTGAGTTAATTTCATGCATGTTTTGGAGCGGAGTGGAGGATTAAGAAAGAGAAAGGTGGGGAAAAACGTTAATGGCATGCAGTGAATTGGAGACAACAGACAACAACGTCAACTCTTAGTAATAGAGGAAGTCTTCAGAGACACTGAATGAGGAAGCAGAGCAGAAAAAAGTCAGTCAGGATCCAGAGGAAGAAGTATTTTTCCTCCAGTGCTGCAGGTAGTTTGAGTCTACTCACTGTCAGAGGCCTTATCACCTAAGAAAGGCTCCTGCTCCATCATGTCCATGGGGATTTTAATGCTGGGAACTTTCTCATTGTAAGGATAGTCAGACTGTTGGAGAGAGGAAACACACATCCTAAGACAGGACCACTGGGGCTGTTGGTAAGTTAGCATCAGCACACACATTCAGATTACCAAACCTGGGATGACCTGCATTCCCTAACGCTGCTGATTACAGAACAGCTGCTGGTGACGCATCTTGAATCTCTGGGACCATTTTAGACTTTCCTGGTTCCCAAAGGTAAAAGAGACAAGGCAGCACAGCACTGAGAGGTTTCTGGTGCAGTGAGAAAATCAGTTATTGGATAAACCTTTCTGCCTGTCTGTAAGAATCAAAGGGTAAGAGCTTCTTTCAGGAGCATCTGTACTTAAATTTAATAACAGTTTAACCTATTGTTGTCCAGCTTCAGTAGTGATCAGCTTGGGAGATGACTTATTTCAACGAGACTCTAGAAAAATGCCAATATAATACAGTAGAATAGAAAAAAAGTTATCTATGCCCCTAAAAAAGTCATAGTGAAATGAAATTCATAATATAGTATGCCATAAAAAATAATTTCAAAAAAGTCATAGTATAGTATGCCTTAAAAAACAGTCATAGTATAGTATGCCTTAAAAAAAAACACTTTAAAAACAGTCATAGTATAGTATGCCTTAAAAAACAGTCATAGTATAGTATGCCTTAAAAAACAGTCATAGTATAGTATGCCTTAAAAAAAAACACTTTAAAAACAGTCATAGTATAGTATGCCTTTAAAAAAAAAAACACTTTTAAAAGCCATAGTACAATATGCCACAAAAAAATAATGAAATTTATAATATAGTATGCCATAAAAATAATTTAAAAAAAGTCATAGTATAGTATGCTTTAAAAAACAGTCATAGTATAGTATGCCTTAAAAAAAACCACTTAAAAAAAGTCACAGTATAGTATGCCTTTAAAAAACCCACTTTAAAAACAGTCATAGTATAGTATGCCTTAAAAAAACACTTTAAAAAAAGTCATAGTATAGTACGCCTTAAAAAATGTCAGAATATAGAATGCCTTAAAAGTAAAGTCATAGTACCGTATGCCATAAAAAGTAATTATAAAAAAAAGTAGTAGCATAGTATGGCATAAAAAATATTTTTATAATGTCATGGTATAATATGCCTTAAAAAGAAAAGAAAAAAGTCATAGTATAGTACGCCTTAAAAATACACTTAAAAAAGTCATAGTATAGTATGCCTCAAAAAACAAACAAACAAAAAAAAGGCATAGGATGGTATGCCTTTAAAAATAATTTAAAAAAAGTCATAGTATACTATGCCATAAAAATAATTTTAAAATACTCATAGTATAGTATGCCTTAAAAGTAAAGTCATAGTAAAGTATGGTATAAAAAATAACTTAAAAAAAAGGTCAAAGTACCGTGCCATAAAAAGTAATTATAAAAAAAGTAGTAGTATAGTATGGCATAAAAAATAATTTTAAAAACTAATTGTATAGTATGCCATAAAAAGTAATTATAAAAAGTAGCAGTATCGTTTGCCTTAAAAAATAATTTTAAAGTCATAGTATATTACGTCTTAAGAAAGTCATCAATCATCTTAAATGTTAGAAATGCAACAAAATAAACACTCATGCAATATCATTTTGAAAAAAAAAAACATCTAATGAAAACCTGTCAAATCTGACTTTCAGTTGTCAAAGCACAAAGCAAAATCTGCAGAATCTTTTCAGTTCCCACTGAGGAGACGATAATCACTCAAAATGAAATATTTTGTCTTTAAGATTTCTAGATTTTATTTATTTATTTTTTTCTCAAGCCTGTCGCACACCTCAAACCTTCTCATCTTTAATGACTGGGGAAACTGCTTTACATCAACTGAAAATGAGGGAAAGAAATCTTCAACTTCGGGAACGCAAACATGCACCTGTAGAGTTGGATATTCAGTTTGCTGGTGGATAAATATTCAAATAGCACATGCTGCTGCAAAGGAAGAGAAAACTGGGAGCAGGGCTGCAGGTTGTTGGTGAGGTCCACAGACTTGGGAATGAAGTGTCATGTAAATCAGATTATAAGAAGCTCCAGAACAATACTGTTGAATTGAAACTGTAACCTCTTAACTCTTACGTCTTCAGCGTCGCTGTCTATGCTTCCTCGTTTCTTCTTTTTCTTCTTCTCATCCTCCTTCTTCTTCTTGTCCTTCTCTGGGATGACGTCGTCCAGGAAGCTGAGGTCATGCTGGGAGAACATGTAGTCCATCGCTTTTCTGACAGCCACCAGAGCGAGGATCTAAAACAGAGGACCAAGACAATTAGGGTGGACTGGGGGATAATTTTTTATTTGCTGAATTAATAATCAGTCAGATCTACTGAAGCCCTTTAAATTACAAGAGTTTAAATACAATTCTTAATATTGTAAATGTTTACCTTACTGTCAATATGCAAGACATTTTTTTGAAATATTAGTTTCAGTAAAAAAGTAAGGTTAATAACGAGTTCGATACACAACTTTAAAAATACATTATTTCAATCTCCAATGGCACAAAAGCCAAGAATTATAAAATGATTATTGATCGTTTCAAACCTAAAATATATAAAATATAAATGATAAATTAAGCAGTGCACTTCCTGTGTAAAAACAATGACTACAACACAAAGTACACAAGTTCCATAAACTGCATAATAAAGTCTTGAGTGCTGGATTTGTGACCCTGAACCGTAATTATAAAAACACCACAGCAGTCACCGCTGGTTTATTGCTCTTATAAAGAATCATCTGACATGTAAATTAAGCTTATCATTTGTACACAGAGTGGTTCGATGTGGCCATAATTCATTCTGATAACACTGAGACGACTGGATTCACTGAGCTGTTTTTATCTCCGATCACTTTATTTAAACACTGCTTCCTTAAAATGACAAGTTGATTCCTCTTGTAGTTCACTGACAGAAAACTAATTATAGATTCTAAATAGACTGACTGATGGTTACAGTTACAAACTCTGATGACGTTAATGAGGGAAAAGGAGTTGGAGGTGTGTAGCTTGTAGCCTGCAGCTCTTTATCTAACAGCTCACTGTGGCTGCTCCTCCTTAGTCCGTTGCTCCCTAAAATAAATCAAACTGAGCCGCTGCCCAAAAATGACCATTTTGTAGACACATTCTTGATGATGATAGCTGTAGAGCTAATCTCACTGACAAACACACTGCACTTCCTGTGACTACTTCATAAAGTCAGGTCATGTTTCACCAGTTTAATGGTTTTAACATACTGGTTTAAACGGTAACACCTGTGTTGTCATGAGTTTATTAGCAGTGGGAGAATTTCCTCACTGTGGCATCAATATTTCACTCACTAAACTATTACTAATTAGGCTCGTGGACACTAAAGACTGGTGACCTTTTAGCAGCATAAAAACTGTGATCTTAAAAGATACAGGTCAGTGAAAAAATAGAATATTCATTTGCTGAATCTCAACATAAACTTTTCTTACCATGACAGGGAATATAATGGCGGCCACGGTGGACTTGAGGATCCAGAGCAGAGCCAAGCAAAGGACTTGAATGAAGGTGAAGAGGTGGACCTTCCTGAGGGGGACATGTCGCAGGTAAACCAGGTCTGGCTGATGCTTCGCTGGCATCAGAAGTAGCTTGATACGATCCATAAACTGCAGACGAACAGAAGACAGTTTAAATATTGTTAACATGACATGTCTATTAGGGGATAATAATAGTAAGCGGGTGTTATTTCAGGTTATTGCTGTACACTCCATCCTACTCATTTTATGTTATGTTGACAAACTAGAATTTTTTTTTTACCTGCACTCCGTTGAGAGAGGCAACCCCCATGTATAGGAAGACTCCATACAGCACAGGCATGGGAATAAACTAGTTTAAAAAAAAAAAACGAAGAAGAAAGCAGATTATTTAATGTTGAGTTAATGTGGACAAAAAAAAAAAAAAAATACAAATCAGATATTCCATTTTTGTCAGTTATGGCATTGGAAGTTCATCAATGCTCAAATTTCTTGCTCCTCTGATCTCTTCACACATGGACTACAGCATAGTTTAGAGGTTTGTAACTGACTGTTACAGACATATCTCTTTATTTGTTTCAGTTACTCAAAGAGAACCCAAAAAATAAACCCAGTAGTGACAGTAAGAAGAAGCAAATCACCTTTTTCAATTTTATTTTAAGTCCTCTTCATAATAAAATACCAGTACTCAGCAGTACAACCACTATTACCAGATCAAGTATTTTTTTGTCACTTGGTGTCAAGCTATTTTGGTTATTTCATTTTGATGTAGCCTTCAAGTTAAGTAGTGTTTTTGTGGTGATGTAGTGTGTTAATTACATGGAGACACTACAGGTGAACAGCCTAAAACTCTTAACTCGTGATGTAATGTTACAAAGTCATATTTCATTACAGTGCTTAAGTATTTTTGAGGCTATCTGTACTTTTCTGTCAGGTTTCACTTTTACTCCAATACATTTCCCCTAAGAATCTTAGTTACTTCAAATTAGGGAAGGAAGGGAGGAAGGGAGTAGGGAGGGAGGAGGGGATAGACAGAAGAATGGAGGAAAGAAGAGGAAGTAAAACCTGGATTTTGTTCTTTAAATCCTTTAAGTAGTGAAAAACACCTTGTTTGTGTGACGTAGGCTCCATTTTTAAGGTGTTGTACATCTTATGAAGAAATAAATGTCATAACTCTCAAAATCCTGACACCCTGCTGTTTTATTAACAGCATTTACTTGTCTTATATAGTCAATTACATTTAATGTTATAAAATGACTTCTGATACTTAACTACAATAAATATCAGGGGCTGTATTCACAAAGCTTTGCCGTACTAAGAGTTGCTCCTGGTGATGAATTTCTAAGAAAATTCTTAGAACTGTGATGTTCTCTTAGAATTTCCTTTAAAATTAAGGCTAGGTCCCATCTTAGCACTTAAAAGAGCTCCTAAGGTGCAAACTGTTAGGAGTAGAGTTTCTTCATCAGAGGCGAAAATGGTGGAAACACAAAGAGGTTGGAGAAATATTCTAACACTGGATGACAGTGAGTAAATGAAATGCTACAGATGAGATTGTGCAGGGATAATAATTGTGGTCGATCTAATTAGGGGTATGCACGCATTTCCCATCTAACACAATATCATAATAACGCCAGAAATACAACGATCACAACACTAAGATACTTGAAAAACTGGAAAAACACAACAGTAAGCAGTGATCACACTAACAATGACAACACTTTCACAGTCAGCATTTCATTTCATTTCCACTGGGTGTCCACACCTTACAGGATCACAAAAGGGCGTGTCTGTGACAACCAATCACATCTGTTAAAAGAATGCATCACACCTAGCAACAGGGTCAACCACACCTCCCCACTAGGGTACAAGTTTCTGTCCCTTCCTTGCTCAGAGTTGCTCTGAGAACTTTCCTAAATCACACCAACGCTAGGTCTCCTTACTACAAGTTTTTAGGCTGAGTAAGGAACTCTCTGAGAGTGTTCCCAGGATGTTTGTGAATACGGCCCCAGATACTCTTTTCCTCAATCCATATTACAATGGGTAACTTAAACTTCTAAGTAATTTTATGGAAAGATATCCGTACTTTTACTCAAGTGTGGCTTTCAGTTACCTTATCCACCACTGCTTTAACTAACAGATATCACTAATTTTAAGTTTTTTAATTTAAATATTAAAACTTAAGAAACTAGACTGACTTACAATGGCTAAAAAACAGAGAACATTCTAGGATGAATTACCTTTAAAATAGGAGACATAAATACAGACAGTCCTGTCAGGATGAACACACACACACCCGTTACCCTCTGCTCTCTGCAAAACAAAAACAAAAAATACAGTTATCACATGAACAAAACTCTATTGTCTGTATTTCTTCGGCTCTTTTTTCTTTACAATAACAACGTCCCAGAAAAGCCTCAAAGATGGTGTTATTACTTGAGTATATTAATTATTTTATGTTATTTGTATTAATTTCACTCAGTTTGGCCAAAAAAAAGAACCCAATATTTGAAGGAAGTTCAAAAGTTGGTGTGGATGTTAACAGGAGTTTGTTAGTTCAGCTTACAGCTGACACATCAGGAGGCTTTGGAGGACATCACCAAACACAAAAACAAGCTGCAATAAAAACAGCAAGAAAATCACAGTGTCTGAACCACATCTAATAATGAACACAAAACCTGGAACATGTACAAAGACATAATAATGATTTAATGTGGCCAATTATTGAGTTCATGCAGTCACTAATGGACAGCAGGGGGAATTTTTCTTTAAAACCTACAGGGGATGACAAGAAGAGATGATTTGTTATTCCTGACTACTTCTTTAAAATACAGTTAATATAACAGATTAATGCAGTATTTTTTTTTTTTTTTAATTTAATGGAGATGTGTTTACTGGTGCTTTCAGTGAAGTCTTAAAAAAGGCGGAAGCAATAGAATACAATAATCCAATGGAAAAATCCCATTGGCTTTTTGTCGACGGCACCAGGGTGATGCTGACGTCAAAAGAACGTCATCCCTGATGCACTCTTGAGTCTTCAAGGTTGTCAATTGTTGTTTTTATATGATATTCAGCTTATTATAGTGTCAAACTTCAGTGACAGGTGCATATACCTAGGGCTGGGCGATATAATGTATCACAATAAAATGTATGCCGATGACGATGATAAACTACAGTCATTTTTACTAGATATGGATAGCCCTAGATAGATCCAAACAGCGTGTCATGCAGCAGAAGTTAACTGACAGCTATCAGTCAGTCTGCAGTGTTGGGGATGTGCGTCATTGTACACGCCCATTTTTCACCCCAAAGTTTGTGCTGAGGTGAAGAGGAACTGAAAGTTAGCGTGGACATAACGAAAAGAGGGGAAAACTCGTGGAAGTGAGGAGAAAAGAGGCGCCGAAGCTGAGAAAGAGCTTGGGTTATCCTCAAAAAACAGATGAATTTTTGGATTAAATAAAAAGGTTACACAACATCAATAATTTGGAAGTGGTTTGGCTACTTGAAAGGTGACTACGCACGGACAAAGACCGTCCGCTAGATATGTCGTCGGTTGGTGCCGACCATGACAGGAAACGCAACAAACCTTTTTCATCACCTGAAAAGGTGGCTTCCCAGCAACAACACTTGAGAGCATGAATTTTGTTGTTCTCTGAAAATCATACCTGCTATCATTATGATTGTCTGACATTGCATTTCATGTGGATCCTGGTGAAAAAATCACAACACTATCTTGTAATAAAGTACTAAGTTTATGGTTTGCACTCTTTAACAGTCTTACCTCACACCCAGGAACTTCGGCTGCTCTCCAGGGGCCGATGTTTCTGTCTCCATCTTCAGACTGTCGATGTGAGCGATGGAGATGACGGTGGCGGCCACGTACCACGGCAGACCCATGAAGGAGCAAATAACCATCAGGACGGCCACCCAGAATAGATCCAGATGGTAACCTGCCCCTTTCTGGTTCAGACAACAAACACAAGGTCAAAAGTCATGCACAGTATGGACATGCTTGGGAAATAACAGAGCACGGCTGCACACAGGCAAACTTAAAACACAGCAAGCAGCCCTTATGTGGTTTGATCATATGATAGCTGATTAATACAGAAGCAGACGAGCATGTTGGTTCTGCCCTTGTGTGCCCCCTGTGTCTTGTCAGCTTGTCACTTTTTGGATCACAAAACTGTAACCTTAAAAGTTGTTTTGTAACGTAATATTTGCCTTAACCCCAAGACTGTAGCCAACTGACACCTATTTTTTACTTCTAAGGATACAGTTAGATTTTTGCTCCTTGTACTGCTGACGTGGCTGCAACTGTGTCTTACGTTAGACTTTAATAGTGCTAAAATATATTGATATTTAAATGGACTACAGTATGTCCAACAACAAAAATCTCCTCAGATGTGGAGTGGATCCATATTCCAATATCAATGTAGTATCTTGGATCAACACATGCCCAAACGAGCTTACAAGGCAGACTATCAATTTCCATGTAAGTAAGTGTAAGACCAAATATACAACTTATAGGAAAGCATGAACAATATAATCTGTATGTCTTCATACTTGTAAATAAAACTAGCCTATACTTTACCACTTAGTTCAATCTCTCATTGTCATCAAACCAAAATAATTCAGGATTTTATTCCGCATTCTTAAAGGTGCACCAGGGTTATCATACAAAGTATGAGCTAGCATTCAGAGCCAGAGCACGGGTGGAGATAGTCACAGAGCTCGCCAAAGCATGCACTGCTACATCCTGCAAAAATCACATCCATCTGGGTGAAACACCAAGTTTTTAGGGAGTGCATTTTTTTTAAAGGGGTAAGTGACACCTTTGAAATCAAAGAAATTACTGCCGCTTTGACTTTCTGAACATTTCAAGCAGTTGCTTTTTGAACTAAACTGTATTCAGTCACTGCCATGAAACATCTCTCACTCCCATGAGAAGAATGACATCAATATTTAACTACAGTGTGAAGGTAGCCGGTGTCCTGCACAAACTGGAGCATGTTGTGGGAAACGCATGAAAATCCTCACTTGGTGTAAATCAAAGTTAGACATTGAAAACTTTTTTTTGGTTGTTGAATTATTTATCATGACAGTGAAAAGCTGCATAACATTCACACATTGCATTCTACAAAGTAAAGAAAGCATATTCAAGGATTTTACAGCATTTTTTTATGCAAGTTACGCTGCAAAATCATATACTGCACTAAATTTTGATCCAGTTCTGTGAACAGCTTACTGTTGTAACACAGATCCACCCATCTGTAGAACAAGAACTGAACAGAAAGACTCCCACCCCTCCGCTGCCTCACTCACATACAGTACAGTACATCAACTATATAAGTATTGACACAGCAATGACATTTTGAAGACTTTCCTCACAAATTAGACTTAGAATTAGACTTGCACCGATTAATCAGCAGTGCTCAGAATCGGGCTGGTTTTCACGTGATTGGCCATGACCTGCGACGTCAGTCTAAAATATGCTGATTTAAAACGGCGGTCAAATTTTCGCCGCACCGCATGATTCACATTGGGTAACATCAAAAGTGCACACACACGCACATGTGCAACTCAGGGCTTGGGCAATGTAAAGAAGTGAAACATGGGTGGCTTCTCACCTTAATCATTCACGCACACACATCAAAAGAGAGAAGGAGAAAGTTGTTAATTGTCCGTGTTAAACTGAACTGCGGAGCTCTCACTGCTGCAATGTGCCTCTTGAAACTGATGAGGCGTGTGTCCGCGTGCCGAAGATGGACGTGTCCGCGCACTTACTGGCGGGCGCATGCTGAAGACCTGTGTGAATTTTCCACAGGAGATATTTTTACTTTTGTCTATACAAGAAATTATCCACAAATGCTATACACCAAGAATTATTATTTTATTTATCTATGTTTTTATTCATGTATGCCTTTATTACTTATTTATTTAAATACTGTACCTGAAGTTATATTTGAGCAAAAAGGAAAATGTTTCTTAACCTGTGTCATTGTTTTTGTTTGTTTGAGATGATTATTGAAAAGCTGGTTGTATCTTGGATAAAATGTTCTAATAAAGGAAAGATAGAAAATATTGCAGTATCTTGTGTGCTGTAAAGTGGTTTGAAAAAAAAAAAAAAAAATGAAATTGTAATCGGCCATCCAAACACTCTGCAAATCGGAAATTGGTATTGGCCCAAAAAATTGTAATCGGTGCAAGTCTACTTAGAATACACATTTTATCAAGAACTTGTTTCCTCTTTACCTTCAGTTTGTGCTCCTTCCTGTTGACAATCACAGCAGTAATCTGCTGGTCCATGAAGACCAGTATGGTGACCAGCAGAGCAGGGAGAGCCGAAGCCAGGTAAACCCACCAGGGGTTTCCTCCGAACGGGGGCACGAACCAGCCTCGGTTAGGACTTGTTGGCTGCGAGAGAGGAAAACAGAAGCTCTGGCACATTAGTCAACAAGACAAATAAGTGGCATTGGTGCTCAACACACTAGAGAGTCTTTTACTGTTTCTTTCAGCTCATAAACTATAAATTAACTTATATTTCTGCTGTTTATTTTCAAACCCATCAGACTGATTCACATTCCATTTATTTGGTGGATGTTTTAGTCCAAAGTGACTTAAAATCTCTCTGCACAGAGCACTTTGGGGGCTCAGTGTGTTGCTCAAGTAATTTCAATATGAAGACAAAACAACTTTTCCACCACCTAAGATATTGTTGTCATTCCCTGCCTTTAAAAACAGCCACTGTCCCTCTCATACCTGCTGGATAGGAGATATCCTACATTTTATAAGATTACATAGTGAGCTTTTTCAAAGAGCGGTGGTTGTGTTTTTATTGTGATGTGGTACTGCACATCTAATATATTGTTTGATTAATTGTTTGTTTGGTTGTTGTGTTTTTCTCTCTCCGAATTTCTGTGTATGTGTTTGGTTTTTGTTTGTCGATTATTTCAGGGTATGTTTTTACTGTTCCTGTTTTTGTCTCTATCATTATAAATTCTCACTTTACAACAACGTAAACTGTGACAAACAATTGTAATCATGTTTACATATGTATGCTCTGTCACTGAATGAATGTTACCTGTGGAAAACTCAATAAACAAAAAGGCTGTGGTTCATTTTACTGTGATGTGTGTGGGGGCACATCGAGAAGCCCATCCTCAGCAGGGTCAGATGTTTATTACCCTGCCCCCAAACTTACTCTGGTCAGGAGAGATGCAGACTTCCTGGCACCACAAGGAGATCATTTGAGATGGTTCAAATGAATTTGTAAGTCATTAACTTATAAAGGGGTCCCCATTATGCTGTTGTCACATAGTACTGTGAATGCAAGATTTCTTTTGCATTAAAACCTTTTGACAAGCGAACTGGTATCTTATGTTTCATGAAGCAGAGCAGCGTAGATACAGTCTGTATTTATGGTAACGCCCACAAAACTTAACATCCTTTTACACCGAGGGGGAAAACAAGGCACTCACTACCATGCTGAAGAGTTGATGTGTGGCTGCACGTCAAACAAACCTAAAAATCCAAAGTTAGAGGGTATTTTTCAATCTGGACTGTATTTCTCCATGTTTTTGTGTGTAAGTGACTAATAGAAGAAACTTGGTCAAGTACTGAGCAAGAGGGCTGCAGCTAGCAGTGAGGAAACAGGCTGCAATGTAAACATTCAGGGCATGTTCACACCATCAGTTTACATCCACTAAAAGTGCTTGTTTTGGCCAATGACAGGCCCAGATTGTTCATTAAGTGTCTTAGAATGTTCTGTAAAGCACCCTACAGAGATAGACCTTTATGTTAAAGTAAGATTCTCTTTGTTTAACCAGAAACAGACCCCAAATCACCAAACCAACCAGATTCCATTAAAAAACGCAGTCATTTTATCATACTTCATTCAAAGTCAGTAGAAACAAAACTCACAGTAACTATCTTGGTTCATCTTTCCACTGTTTTCACAATCACCAGCCCTATTTTGTTTGAAACAAACCCTTATTTCACCCAGATTTTGGGGCTGTTCTGGTTACAGAAAAAGTATCTAATGTTTTATCCAAACTTTTAGACTGTTTAGCCAACTAATAAAAAAGTTGTGAGCCTTCAGGGACCTGTAGTTCTTTGAGGTTGCAATTCCCTGCATGCTAACGTTAAAGCACATTGTCAAAACATAGTGTAGTGGCACTGAGTAACGTTAGCTCTGCTATGCGGTCACGAAACATGCATGGAATTTACTGAAACATGATGCTAGTCTATGACATCAAAGTGTTAATGGCTGTAGGGCACTCATATTATGGTAAGTTTAAAAAAACATCCCTATAACAAATGTAACGGTGTCTCTCGTGAGAAAAAAAAACACCTTCCCAGCATTTCCCCCTTGCTGACTCCGCCCTCATCACACCCCATAACTATGAATACACCTTGACTGTATCTATGAGCAGTTAGGAGGCAGGAGAGGGACTCACCTTGAATTCAGTTGGCACAATGAGTTTGGGAGTTTCGACTCCTACGAGCATGTCAACTCCACAGAAGATGAGGATGGCCAGGATGATGGCAAAGTCACTGATGAGTTTCCTCACCTGGGTGAAAGTTAACACAAACACTTGACAAAGTTGTTCTCCGTAAGCTGCTGTTCAAACATTTGGACACCTGATTCATTTCCCTGATGGATGAGCTGTCCGGTGGAGTTCTCTTAGTGTGACTCACGGTAGTAGGGAAGAACTGGCTGGTCTTAAACTTCTTCAGGCACATGGAGCAGGTGTACGTGCCAAAGAACAGGATGAAGGACATGAGGGTGATGTCGGGGACAAAGTCGCAGGACTTCCCCACCAGCTCTCCTTTGTACTTTAAGCACTCCGTCCTTGTGAGGGACGACCATGTGGCGTTCGCTGGCTGCACAGGGGAAACAAACACCATCATGATAAGTCACAGAGGATCATCAATGAACTCAAAGTTTCATTAATGCCTCTATGTCCCTATTTGATTTAGAATAATAATGTTTGGGCAAATACGTACCCCATAAATTTTCATAAACTTTATTTAATGCTACAACAATTTGTAAGACTTTGTAGCTTTGTCAAACTTTAACGAGGCCTTTGTTTCTTTCTTTCAGTCTATGACTTACATTTTCATCTTTATATGAGATGTTTGTGTATATTTAAATATAATGTATGTTCTTGTCATCACATTTGATTAATGATGTCTAATTATTTCGAATTATTTTATAGATATATATAATACCTTTTTCGCTTATCCCAACTTTTCCCCCATATTGTTTTTCATGTTTTTCTGTATTGTTATTGAACTGTTGTCTGCTGATTGCTTAGTTTTTCTGCATTCTTCATTTTGAGTGCTTCTTATGTTACCTTATTTTTTTAATTTATCTATGTTTCCCTTATTTGGTTATTCTTTGTTTTTCTCCTTACTTTACATTGAGGAGAGTAGGGCTGCTACAGTATGAGATTTACACGATACAATAACCGTCTCAGAAAATATCACGGTGTCACAGTACACAGTATTTCTCAGTGATACACAATTTTAATAATTATCATTAACAATGAACCTCAAAGGAACGAGAATAAAAGGGGTTTTTTTTGTTTTTGTTTGAACAAATACTTAATTACCGTAATTCAAACTTGAGGCCATATTTCATGGAAGTATATGAAAAAGTCTCCATTTGAAAGTGACTAAGATTCTTATATAATACCTGATAATTTTCATGCGACCTGTGGCTTCCTGACCTCTCCACACACATTATATTTTATTATCTGGATTTTACAGAAAAATTAAAAAGGTTATAATGAAGCAGTTATAAATACTACTGAGTGTCCCACCAAAGCTGTGACGGTGACACTGAGGCTGAGCAAAGCTGACTGATAACTGTCTCAGGCTTGCAGTGTTATGGAGTAAACAGTGATAAAGACGAGCCAACTGCGGGTCACAAAAACCTCAAATTGCAATCAATGTGCTTATCGGACTGTACTATTTTCATTGTGACATTGTTGAACTTTCTTCTTTAATTTTGTCTTTATCTCGCCAGCTGTGGCTGGTGTGTGATTTGTGACCCAATTCCCAGATGTATTTCAAGACTGTCAAAGAATTCCAGCAGCATCCAGACTCTCAGTTTGAAACAATGCTTACATAAAATATATAAACTACAGTACTGTTTATTACAGCTATGGTTAAGACAGCACACATTAGCATAGATGATAAACAGTGGTACAATGTGACTAACTACTGTAAATAGGTGAAGTGTTTTCATTGTATGCTACTCTATACTGCTACTACACTACATTTATCTGACAATATTAGTTACTGGTTGTGTTACCGATTCAGATTATTAAAGCAAAATATGAAATTATGATGCGTTATTATGGATTAATCTATCCAGCAGTATAATGACTAGTTGAAATGAGCTCCACTTTTACCAGCAGCTACATTAAAGTGATGAACACATTAATGCAACAGTAATTATAATCCAGTAATATAATATATATTCATCTGAAATGGGCCACTCTTCTGATGAATGTTTACTTGTAACAGAGTATTTTTACATTAAGTAGTATTGCTATATTTACTTAACCTCAATTTCTGAGTACTTAATCCACCACTGGTGATGAGATATCACATTAACAACCAATATGAATTCTTTTCTATTCAGTGTGAATGTTGAAAAAAAAATGTCAAAGATGATAAATCTTTTTTTTCCAGCTATAAAAACAGGAAACACTTACCAGATCAGTGTTGTTCCAGATCCATTCTGAGGTACCTTCTAAAGGATCCTCAATGATGTCTGTACTATTCTCTGCAAAAACATGACAAAACAAAATGCAAGTTTTTAACACTTCACATGCTGCAGTGGCCGACACTGTTGAATGGATGTCCATTTTATGACATCTGAATCTCAGCTCTGTTTTGACACACTCTGCTAAACTTTCATAAATCTTAGTTGTGTTGTACTGTTTCTGTTCAGCTGCATTCAGGCTTGGTCTTGCTTTGAGTTAAATGCTAATGTGTTCGATGTAGCATGCATGTTTACTTAGCATATATCCAGCATGTTACTGTCCCAACACAAGTGTAGGTATCACCCTATCACACTTACATTAAGCATATAAGCTAATCTCAGTGCCACCAATGTAGTTCATTTCAAGACAATCCAGGTGTAAAGAGATATCAGTCTGGGAGTGTCTCTGTGGCTCAGTGGTTAACCTGCTGACTGTGAACCACCAAGTGCACATTCAAGTCCAGCTGGGGACCTTTGCTGCATTTCCCTCATTTCCAGTTAACGAGGGAAAATGCCCAAAAGACAAAATTAAGAGTGAAGATATTTCACTCTGGGCCAAAGCATTGATTCAAAAGACCAAACGACCGACTGACCAACATTTCCATCCATGAATCAAAACCACCACCCAAGAATTTACCTGATTTGTCTGCCTGCTCACCCATCAAAAGCAAACAGCTGTTTCCCACCCCCTGGTATGTGCTGTGCTCTGCGTAGAATGGCATATTTCTGTGTGTGTGTCTGTGTGTACCTCTACATCTATTCTATATCATGAACCAATTTGAGTTTTAGACCATGAGAGTGAGGACATTTTTGGAAAGTGAAGACATTTTGTTCCCCCCTTCAGAACAACCTTTTAAGGCCTGTTTCAGGGTTCAGACTTGGTTTTTACGTCCCAGTTAGTATAAAGTTTAGGTTTGGCTAAAGGGCTAGGGAATGCATAATGTCAATGAGTGTCCTAATAAGTATAGTAGCAGGGGATGAGCAGTAATTCAGGGTTGCCCCCTACTTCATCTCCCATCCTCCATCAGAAAATAAAATAAAAAGAGGCACCCTGTGTCTTTTTAAAGCCTGACCAGCCTCACTTATCCGCATTTTGTTATGGTCACACATAGAAAAAAATTAGCAGTCATGCCACACAAGACAGACAGGCTTACACTTTATTAAGGCCCAAAGTTATGCATATTTAAGGGCGGGGCTGCTTGAATGACAGTCTATGAGTCAAAGCCACCCCTTGCTTGTCCACAGCTCCAGCGTCTTATACAAATGTAGTCGCTTCTGGCTCCAAAAAACCAAGATGGTGACGGCTGAAATGCCAACAGCGAGGCTTCGAACAACATTCCACATACCACTGAGTTATGTCACGATAGCTACTACGTCCATTATTTATACAGTCTTTGACTAAAACTCAGCAGCCCATAATGCTGAAATTACTCTTTACAACCAAACGTTCCATGAGAGATGGCAAATCTTTAGTGCCAACATGATCACGTAAACAATGACACCATTACAAACTTGTTTATAAGCCCTCTCCTTAACCCTTCTAATCAAATTAAACTAACTCATGTCCTCTTGGTTTACAAAATGCTGACGAAACCTAATCAACCTAATCAATACTGGAGTGTCATATTGGCATCCATGGGTAAAAACACACACTGCTTCAGCTAAACACCTGAAGGTTAGACAACATCTCACCTAGAACAGCAGGGGCCATACAGAGGCAGTCATATTGTGTCACATAGTCGATCCTGTAGTCTGAGTTGATGGGAAAGTGGTGAGCTAATTTGAGCATCTTCTTGAAGGCATCGTAGATGAAGATGAAGCTGATGAGACAGGAGAAGCCCTCCTCAGTGAATCGAGTGAAGTACTGAACCAAGAAGCTGGCGTCGGTGGCCACGAGCACCAGGCAGAAGAACGCAGACCACAGGCCAATCCACAGGCGGAACTCCAGGTAGTCAAATTCATTATCTCTGTATGAAGACAAACCAAAGCAAATATTCAGAACTAGTCAGAAAAATATATTTGATGTTTTATACGCTAAAGAGTGTTAGGGGCACAGTTTGGAATAATGAATACAGTTGTTATATTTTAAGCAGAACCAGTGATGTCATGAGAATAAAGCTGTTTTGAGGAAAAAAGTCAATATTGTTTAAGCTGGAGCGCAGGACTTTTACATATAAATGAACGTCTGTTACATTCAAGCTCTTGCCAAATGAGTTCACATAATGCTGATTAAGCCTACTGCTGCCAGGGAAAGCTCTGTATTTCTCAGTATACTGGAGTTATGGTGTCTGGTGTCTGTGGCAACTTTCCAGGGCTGGCATACTGGAGTGATGTGATTTACATCAACCAGCAAGAGCGACGGAGCAGCAGCTGGGAGTATGACAGCAGCTATGGCAAAAAATCTGAAGTGGATGCTCCAGTTTAAAAAAAACAAACAAAAACAAAACAAAACTGGGCGCTAAGAGGAAGGTATAACGTCAAAATAAGAAAGTGATAGACGGTGGGGGCAAACCATGGATCACGATTGGTGTAGCTTTTCCTCATTGGAAGGCACTGAGAGACAAGAAGAAACTAAGAGCAGACACAGATGCCGTGTTACTGCTCTTGGATAGGTTGGTATTTGTAAAATACTAATGCAGCGGCCGTTTGCTGCTTATAGTTCTCTCAAGAACCGCGCATCCAAACAACTTCTCCCGTTTGCCTTTGCTTAACCTCTGCCATTATTTGTACCGGAAGAATTGAGGAGAGCGCTCCTGGGGGCGCAGAAGATGCTGCGAGCTCGCGTGCAGGCAAAAGTCATAAGCACGCGTCAACAGTATTTGTGTAATTACTGGCACTGCCACAGGGGAGAGACAAAACTTTCACATCTACATCTTTACAAAAAGGGATAATATTCCACGGAAAGAGTCATAACATCAAATCCATCATTTGCCACGAGGCAGCTGAAAGTCATCTCACCTTCTTACTGCATCTGAGTATTTAAATCTTGAAATTACATGGCTTGTTTTCTCAAAATATTTCAACTGTAAAGATATAAAAAGACTTACAATATGTCAACTTCATTCTCATATTTTTTTTCCCCACAATAGTGGCCCTGATACTCTGCATGATTTTCATGAAAGATAAATTTCATAACAAAAAAGTGTGGAGCATTTTGAGCATCACCAACCGAAATTTAATATGATGATAAGGTATGTTTCAAGCCCTGAATCATCTAGTAATTAGTAACTGGGCCTCTGAAAATGGAGATGTACCTGCTGAAATTGAAGAGCAGCCGTTCAAAAACCAGAACAGGACCGGTGCTGCTGAGGATGGTCAGAGGCTGGCCGGCCAGCAGACAGAAAACCCCACCGGCGATCGCTGTGCCCAGAAAGCTCTCCAACACACCCTGCACACATGGAGGGTAACAGTTCAGAACATAAATGGTAAACAATCTACAATAGTATTAATGTAGAATATATTGTATTAAAAATATATTCCAACAATCTACAAACTGGTAAACAGGTTTAAATCTCAGGCTGACCTGCATGTTTTCTGTAGCATCGCCCAGCAGACCGCCAAAGGTGATGGCATTTGTCACAGTTCCCAGGTAAATAAACAAAATGGCCGACAAAGCCTGAATGTGCATTGCATCGTAGAAGTCACTGAGGAAGAAAGGCGCTTTTCTTTTGATGTCAAGTAGGAGACCACCACAAAACCTGCAAACAAAGAAACAAACAGGGTTTTCCACAAGTGGTGGAATGTAACTTCTGCTAGTACACTTACTCAAGTACTGCACTTAAGTACAAATGTGAGGTACTTGTACTTCACTTGAGTATTACCACTTTATAATATATATACTTCTACTCGACAACTCAGAGGTGAATATTGTACTTTTGACTCCACTCCATTTGTCCTCTTTTGTCCAGTAAAAATCAACGTTTTCAAATGAGGTCATTTAGAATTTAAATGTTTAGGTTCAGGAAATTCTCCGACAACTTGAGCTGAATAAACTCTTTAAAAACCCTCTTAGATCAGGTGGAAAACGCATCGTCACAAAGCTGAGAACAGGGCTCTCTTTTTGTCATCATGAAAAGTTAACTCTCTAAAGATGAGTGATTCTCACAGGACAGCTGTGCCACAAATATATGATGATATTACAGAACATTGCTGTCGATTGAACTACCCAACAGTGTATAAAAGAGTTAAGATTAGCGGAACATAAACATCTACAGCAGTAAAACACAATAATGCACCAGTAAAATTAAGCTCCAACATCTTAATATGTACTTAAAGTATTAGTATGCAGACCAAGAAAACTACAATATATGACTCCTTTTGGTTTACAAACATGACTTATTTAACACTGAATCATTTGCACGGTGGCAAATGTTCCAAAATATGAGGAACAAGACAACATCCATTCTCTTATAAAAACTATTATTCGAATATGTGTTTTAAATTATAGTTTCATACCTTCCAGTCTTCTGCAGCTCCTCCCCTACAGCATGTCCCCCTCCTCCATGACCTCCATCATGAGGCATATCTCCGTTCATCTGGGAATCCCCTCCTGCATACATGTTTTTCCTAAAAGACACAAAATACACACTGTGTTATTCAGTCTGGCAGACACTTTACCTCTGATTTTCAGTATAACACATGAAAACAGGTATCTGATGCAGGTCGTATATTCAAACACCTCAAATATCTACTGATGCTGACACAGCCTGCAGTTTTTGGCACTTAAGATGCCATGAAAATAAAGTTTTAAGTGTCAGCATGTTGTCACAACCTCTATTTTTGTCAATCAGGCAATGGTGATATCTGTGTCACATGATTAATTATCCTGATTCATCAGCGCTCACGCAGTCAATAACTACAACATCAGTGCTTTGCCTAGTCACACCTCTTCCTAACATACAGTGAGCCGGCAAACTCGAGATATATTGTCCAGACATTCTACGAGCAACAACATTTAGGTAGCCTATCGAGCCTAAAAACGGCTTGCTGTTGCTCTGAAAATAGGTTGGAGGTGCACGAACTGTCGCCAAAATCCAGCCAGGGCCAGCGGTTTGTCAAACTAGCATCGCTTAGCCTGTTTGCTGAGGCACAGAGCTGGTAAGGAGATCTTCAGTGGGAAACACTGAAATTATATGATGTTTGCTTGCTCGTTTGCATCCCATCTTGACCATGTTACACTTCTTCCTAACTGGACATGATTTGAACGAGCGAGCGAACATCAGATTGCAACTAAAACACGCACTTCCAGTGGCACAGCAAATCTGTATCCTTGTATTGCATGGAGTTCAATTTAAGTAAACTTTGACTGGGAAAGTCGCAGCCTCAACTAGTGATTGTTGTCGTGTTTAACCAGCCGATATTGTCTGATATTAGCCAGGAAAATACAAACTGCCCTATGTGAAAGATGCTGCCTGGCTGCAACAACATCATATTTCACATATTTGTTAGCATGCTAGCTTTCCATGTCCGTCACATAAGGCACTGCCCACATTCAGCATGAATATCACCTCGGCAGGCGATGGTCACTCGCCTGCATACGCTGATGTGTGACTGTACCATAAAACTGCAGCTTTAACTAAAACCCACAGCTGCTCTTTCATAATTGAACACTGCGCTGTACAACTGGACGCGCTTCAGTGATTTTGCAACTGCAGCACTTCTATAACATAATGTAGTTACTGCGCACACAGCATTCAGAGAGGGCACAGATCTTACATAATGCAGGACAGTCTTGCACTCACTTTCATAGTTTTCTTTCTTTTTTTTTGTTCTTAAATGTACTCCTGCATTGATTATTTGTATTTTGACCGTTAAAATCTTTTAACAGACTAACGTTACAGTTTAATTTAAGTTGCTTCTAAGACTTCACGTTGCACTACCCATCACTGGTTGTATTAGAACTCTTGTTTTATATATCTGAGGTGTCAGAATTACTGTAAACCAGAATTTGTGTCAGCTAAAGTTTGCATATCTCTATGCAGCGTTTCATCTGTGTGTATGTGGAAGTGAGTTTAATAAATGACCAGCAGACTGACAGAAAGCCTGAGGTCCCTGTAAAATCAGTGAACACTAGTGTTTTCAGATAACATCACAACAAGGAAATCCCTCAGGGGGTTACTGCCGGGCTACTGTCACTCTTTATATTGTAATCCTCCAGTTATAAGAAGATGAAGCCCAGAAAGTGAAATAGTTTTCTCATTTTCAACAAGAGGACACTGCTGGAGGGGAAACACAGAGTGGAGACACAAACTACATGCTGCATGTGGACTCTACTCATCTACTACTCTCTCAAAGACACAGCAATGTCTGTACTTCTAGTAAAATGGCAGCTTGCTTTTTAATAACCTAAATTTGTGAGATGTAAAACAAAGTAATCTGTGTTTCTTGTTTATTCAGCTGAGCCAAAGAAGCATCAGTAAGTTGGACTTCATATTAATCATGTTTATTGACCTTTTGTCGGAGGAGGGGAGGGATTTCGGAGGCTCTATCCTGATGGCCGGGTCCCACTCTCCAGGAGGAAGCACGATCACCTCATCCAGGAACTCATCGATACCAGCCAGCAGGTCTTGTCTGTCCTTGGCCTTATACGCAATGTCATGAAAGACCTGAACACAGACAGAGAGGGACGAAGCATTCAGGTGTGAAAGAGACCTGTCAAAGCATGTGGTGTCACCAGGCTGCAAACTCTAATATTGGATCTGAGGTTTAATTATTAGAGAAGAGAGCGAGATAAAACACATCTGCATTCTTGTCAATAAAATGTGAATGCAATGCAGTTTCAGTTGATATACTGTACAGCTCTGGGATTTCAGAGTTTATGCAGTGTGTCTACAGGTATCAGACACTTAGGGTCACTGCGTTTTAAGATATTTTAAAGATATTTTTAAACTAAATTTAAGACTGATTTTTGGACAGATCATCTTGTCCTTTTTTAAACATTGCAGGTAAGCATAAAGGTAAGTAGTATATGTGGCCCGTGCAGAGGGACGTGTTACGTAGGAATATGTTTATTAGAGTGAGTTCAGTTAATCTACATTTTGCCAACAGGTAAGTGCAAGTGTAAGGTGAAACTCAGTATGGCAGGTATAAACATTTGTAACATCAGAAATGTGGACTTTTACTCAGAGAAGCTTAACTCATTTTGACAAAAAGATATTAAAAGATGGATAAGTAAAATTGGATTAAATGATTGTGGTGATTAAGACTTCACAAATTTAAATTTCAGACTATTTCATAAATTTTAAGGCCTAAAATTTATCTTAAAAAAAATCAAAACATTAATTTAAGACTTTTAAGGACCTGCAGAAACCATGTCATGAATAAACTGTGTGTCTGGAAAAATTCTGTAATGATTTTCTCCTGCTCACATCTGACTTTTAATTTCAAAACAACATTTCTATACTTGCTTGTTTTTATTTTTTGCTAAGAAGACCTGGCCAAAATACTAAAAATACACAATCCCTATGTGTACTCTATATTGACAAATAATACAATAATCGTAAAGATAACGATTTCTTCCCCGTCAGACAACTTGAAGAATGCTCCTTATTATTGACACATCTTTGCATGGTGCCTCTTCAGTACTTGGTTTAGAAATCATAGAATGATTTTTACGTTTTTTTCCAGAGATATTATTACATAAACAAAGTTGTGAAACAAACTTGAGTAGGAGGAAAACACTGGTAAAACTAGTGGCAGGCAGCTGAAACTTTAAAATTCTTGTAAGAAACTGATTATCAGCCTACACAGAGTGGAAACATATACAAGAGCAGCAAACAACATAATCCAGTTCAATACAACAATACCATATACTACAGTCTAAATAATTACCACAGCCTGGAAAACAGGGTGTCAGAAAAAATCTAACAATAATGGGTTCACAAACATAGTGGGGGTATAATGCTGGATCCCTCTTATATTGTCTGCTCTGTACTTTAGATTGGGAATAAACTAAAAATAAAGGTAGAAATACTAAGAGTGAAAATGATGTTGCATCACATGAAAGATCTCATTTTGATGTGTGTATCAGAGTTTCATTGTCAACATTAAAAAACAAACAGATGACGCATGTTAATGGCAGTTTTACTTCATCTGACATCAGCGTGGCAATCGCTCTGCCAATCTCATGGTACGATTTGGCTTTGCCTTTGGGTCCGAGCAAGATGAATAAAAACCTGAAAATGGAACAAAATCATTTGTATTAATAACTTATCTGTATTTTTCTGTGACAGATAAACTTCTGAATGAAAGAAGAGTATAAACTGAAGATAAAATTAGATAACAATTCTCACTGCATGAAAAACAGTACAAGTTTAGTTTTTATTATTAGCATCCCTTTCATATTTACATCTCCTCAGGTGAGGTATTCAATTAAGGTTAACAGCATCTTTATTTTATCTGTACAACAGCACAAACTGTTAGCTCTCATAAGAAAGTGTCTGTGTTATTCATACCTGTCTAAGCTAGACATATTTACTCCAAGACGTGTTATCATTTTAATTTGACTGCAGGGAAGCTGCTACATACACCAGCGATTGATTCAAATACCTCACAAGTGCTTTCCAACGTATAACAATAAACCTGAAAGGGAGTTTACTACGAGTACTGACATAATGGTGACGTAGAAGATGTTTCACCGTAGCAGAGAAAATCCTTAAGGAAATTGTGACATTTACTAGTTCATCAGAACTGCTTGCCAAGTTTTCTCCAGAATTGTTTTATGGCTTCTTGGTTACAATAACACTGCAGAAAGCAGTTCAATGTCACTGCTGTTGCTTTATGACACTCATCAACAACCAGAGAACAAACAGGGAGACATATAATAAAGGAAATGCTATTACAAATATTTTTTTGAGCTCTGCATTCGATTTACATTTGTGAATTTAAATAACAATGGTGTATTGGATTTCTTTCTCATTTTAAAGTGAATGCAGGAAAAACATATTGTATTTATAATATTAGCATTTTCATAGAGTGCTCCAGAAATGAGTCCTAAAACCCGGAAATAAGTTGGCACTCCTGGTTCCCTCATCTCATAGTTAATAATAAGGACTTTGGTCAACACAAGCTTAAGAGACTTTAGCGTTTCGTTCTATACGCCAGTAGATACTCCTCTCGTGAATTTTGAAGCTTTCATATATCTTAAAAAGGCGGTTGATAACAAGTGACTAAATGAGGCTACAGAACGTCATCACGCCGAGCACGGCATTACAGCCTCACTGCATTAGGGATGTTAAAGGGGAACACCACCTAAATTTAAAATTCCAATGACCAAGGAAACACCAAACAATGTGAACATGAGCTACTCTCTCTACTCTCAAAGCCAGAAACCAAGGGAGTAGGTCTCAAACTTGTGATGTCATAGGGTATAAAGTTTGGAGCTGCTCCACAGACAATGAATGGGAGACTGATTTTGTGGACCCACAGAATGTGTTTTCTTTTTTATACCCAAATGAGCTTTATGCTGTTGTAGCGTTCTCAGTTCTGAAACAGGAAATGTACCCATATACTCAGAACATACCCCCTTGGTGCTCTCAGTGTCATGTACAACATCTTTCACTATTCATTGTCTCTGGTGCAGCTCCAGAATTTATACTCTGTAAGTCTTACAACTGTGGTGTAGTACATTTATAGCCGTCACATTCATTTCTGGCAACTGCTTTTACACTTTAAAAATCATTTTAAATAAGTGTTCGTTTGTGAAGATTTTCTGCAATAACCCAAAATCCAATGGAAAAATCCCATGGGCTTTTTGACAAGGGAACCAGGGCAACACTAACTTCCACGTCATCCTACAGAAAAACGTCATCCCTGGAGCACTCTAATGTGTTCACACCTTGCATATTTTGCAGTGTTTTTTGCAGGTTTCTGTCAGTGATATTACACCTTAATAAATCTGTAAGGCACCCAGAGTTGCACCTCGACAGTTAAAACTGTCTCAATGGAAATTCTGGACTGATGCATCGTCCTACATAGAATTTTTATCTCCTATTTATGAATTCCTGGAGTTCAGACATGAATCTCAGCCACCTTGTGGGAACAGGAACCTCCGTTAAGGCTCCCAGCATCACAGCTTGCTGCAAACGAACAAATGCCACAAATGGAGCGTCCAGGAAGTCCACCTCCCCCACCAGCACGTTGGAGGCCTCAGCGTCTCTCGGCAACTTCTTCATGAACTTGTTCCTCAGCTAAAAAGTACAAAAGAGGAGAAGAGAAGGAGACATTTAATGTTATGTTCACACCAGCAAGCCACCTATTACAGGGCACACTGAATGAAACAACCTATATCAAACAGGACAATCCCATCCAGCTTAAATACCAAACCAGGAGGCTGCCATGGTATCGGAGTAAGGAACAAGTTGTAACATAAGGTCTGTATTTCTTTCTGTCATGGAGATGGTGAGATGTGTAAAGATGGAAGTCAGACACCTGCTGAGCTTCAAAGGTTCAACATTTTACATTCATAAAGACAGTTTTCCAACTGAAACTAATGAACACACCAGCGTTTGTGCATGCTTTAGTCTCTGAGCTTCTAATTAATGTTTGAGCAGACCTTTTTTCTTCAAAGGAAAGGATATCTTTTTTCCTTTTTACATTTCTGAATGTTTAGTTTCTGTTCTTGGTGAGAAAATTAACTTGAATGAAAATCTTGCTGTGGTGTTTAATCCATCATATAGGTTATCAACTTAAATGGAGCTCATGAAGCATCTTGTATTTGATGTTATGGTTTATCTGTATGCAGAAGTGTGTGTAAATGTTTTGTTGGATTTCAGTGCAAGATCTTGCAATATAACTCAAGAAGTTGCTATATACACTGTTTGTGCTCCATATAATTAAGGGTTATGTGGCTTAAAAATGTCTCTTTGTACTTGTGTTTGCAATAAGAAATGGACTGAGAAGACAGAAGCACATGCTCAGATTTATGCTGACATAGGCAACAAAACTGCACTTAACAAAAATCTCAAACCTGTGAGCCAATGACGGTAACATATTTTCTTCAGCAGCATTCATTTGGCATGTTGGCATTTGTTTTATTTATATATTAGTGTATCTCCTGATACTGCAACAGCAATTACTAAACTTACTAAAGGTAAAATTAAGAGAAATTCACCAACAGCTGAGCGTACTGTGCTGAGAAAACTGAGCATGACTGGTAAACAAGGTGACGTTATGTTGCAGGATTTGAGATTCAAATTTGTTTAATTGTCACATCTTATTGAAAAAAAAAAATATATACCATGTCCATTCACACACTTCAACTTGGGTTCAACAACTCTCTCTTGTATGTTTTTAAATCCAGGAGCTGTTATTACACACTTTCAATCACATTTCATTTCTACAATCGTATTGTTTTATAAGATGTTCCATATGATAAAAAAGTGTTTATGAGCAGATAGAGATCATTAATAAATAAAACTTCAAAGACAAAGAGCCATAAACATTCAGATAAGATTGTCATGGAAAACTACTGTGTTACATATTAACTTCAAAACTGCAGCGAGCCGGGAGGAAACATTTACTAAGACAAAGCCAGTGACATTTTATGGGACATATGTGCCCTGGATGACCACATGAAAGTACATTTTACACCATAGTCAGTTTAAGTAACACTTTAATCTTTAACATCTCTTCATGTAAAATTACTTGATAAATCTACTAATCAATAAACCAAAAACCACAAATCAGGTCCCCATTAAACGAGACTGTTTGAGTATTATAAAGGTTTAAATTAAATGTTCTCCCCTCAGTCTCCTCAGTGCACAGCCCATTCACAGCTACTATCAACAAGTGAGTTGTTATTGTACTGTCTTTAACTATAACAGTAAAGATTTCTTTACCCCAAATAATCATCACCTTCTCAGTTTAATATGTGTATTTGCAAACTAACCAAAACAAACATGAATGCCTTATGTTATATTTGGACGGACAACTAATAGGACCACCATGGAAAAAATCTGTGTTAAAAATCTCACAGTTCATGATTTTTCTGCTTTCAATTAGCAGAAGGATTAGACGCACTTTTGAGGATTAAGCCTGTTGTCCAACATATTCAGAAATCCTGACGTCAAATACGGGCCATCATCCAGCTGACGCAAAGCTGTCTGAGGAGCCAAAAACAATGGCATAACTTGTCATCTAGACAGACTGGCCCATTCAGGTAAATATTATGGGAACGTCCAATGCTTCTAAAACCACATGAACATGCACAATGGATTGTTTTGCATCATATGACAGATTAAAGATGCCATCAGAGATGTACAACATGATTATTTTCATCCTTAATTCTGTACCAACACCTGAGGACAATCTATTAACTGCTGTACTAACAAGATCTTAATTACCTTGGCTCTCCTTGGCCCGTTGAGATAAACACATGGAAATCCTATGATTTCATTATGGCTGTTTGATATATCACTTATTTTCCCCATACAAAGGGAGCAGTAACAATAAAACAGTAAAGCGAGGTGGTAAAGAACAGCAGCCCACAGTTTTACTTTAGTCTTGGCTGACTGACTAATTAAATCAGTTTTGCTTCTGCTGTTTTGTTACGTTTCATTTATAGTGTTGGGACATTTTTCTTGAAAAGAAACGTCATATCCTGATTTCAACATCTATGGAAGTTGCCAGATAAAATTCTATTCTTTAACTATATACACTTTATATGATAGCAGTAAATTAATCACTAGTCCAGAGAGCGATCTGATAAGTTTTAAGATACCAAACTGAGCAAGAGTGTCAGGTGATGTTAAATGTGGCGTTAAAACCAGCTGTGCCAGGATTTAAATTGGATTAGATCACAAACACTCAGGTTTTCTACCAGTCAGAGAATTAAGAAATTATCAATAAAGAAAACTGACTCATTTTTTTAAGGAAGGAAAAAAACAACAACACAGCAAGTAGAGGCAGGTTAAAAAGAACAAAATGGCTATCTATTGCTTGTCATCATGCCCGCCAAACCCAGATCATGCACTAGCAGGATCGCTGCCATCAACCTCTGAGGACTGAAATCCCATAAACCTGTGACCTTCTACTAGCAAGAGCCAAACAGATCCCATCAGAGGCTGTTGAGTCATGTTGGCAAGAAGTCTGTCTGTAAATGATTGAGTTGAGAGGTTGAACCTGCGTAATGACACTACTTGAATGACATGTCTTTGTTTTTTATGTTGTGGTACTACTCATTGCTGCCTCCCTTGTAAAGGGTCAATTCACCCAAATTCACACATGTTGGCCTTCTAGACAGTCCGACATCGCACTGACTGAGGAAGCCGAGGGCATCAGCACTGCTTTTTAATAACGGCTAAGTGAGAGTTGCCATTTAAAAAACTCAGAAAAATACATGGAAGAAGACTCGGCCTTTAATGCATGTAACTTTATGATCATAATTCAGCTATGCACCCTGATCTTACTCCAGAATGTGAAACTGCCACTTGTCCTAATCTCCATCACTCTCTCTAATACCCCTTTTCCACCAAATTAGTGTATGTTTGCAGGTTTTTTAAACACGGGTAAACCTGCTAAAAAAAGAAAAGGCTATAGATGGCTCTGAAGCAGACGAGTATGCCTTTTTGTGTAGCCTCTGAAAACTTTACAGTGGTTTCTTCTTTTCGTATAGGCTATCACTTACTTAATCAGTCTCTCTTTCAAACTTGGTGCAAACTAATTTGGATCGATGTTTGAGTAATGCTTAGGTGGAGATGAACGGTATTTTGTGGTGGCGTGTCACTGCATTTTGCTGGTTAAGGGGCTAAAATTAGCATGTTTACCCAGTTGTTGTGTTTCCATCAATCCCAATCAGAGCCAGAGCCGATATATACGCATGACTACTGCAGAGTCATTTGACCCAGGTGTAAATGCTGATTGATACCTTTCCCATTACATTAAAAGGCAAGTTAGCAGGTGTTAGTTGGTTTTTTGTGCAGTGGAAAATGGGCTTAAGTTATCAGACAAGAGGCAGTGTGGAAATGATCACTGCATATCAGCCCACAGAGGAAACATCAGAGGGGTATTTATAGGCTGGGTGGGTGTGGTGGAGCTTCAGTTTAGGAGATGTGCTTCCTGTCCAGTTGTCTATCTGTCCCACAGGAGGACTTACTGGGTCGGTCTGACCTAATTCTCTTCTCCCAGAGGCCTGGTCTGGGATGGGACCATATGAACAAATGGCTGCTATGAACTCTGGTAATCTAACTACGCCACTATCAGAATCAGAATCAGTGGAGCTTACAGCGTGATGTAACCATTCAGAAAAACACCAAGACAAACAGCGTGTAACTCTGTAAAACAGCAGCTTTTCAAATGAATGTGAAATATCAATTAATTTGTTCTGCTGCTAATCTTATTTTCAAAATATCATAAATCCAATCAAACAGGAATTGATTAATTTAATGGTGAACAAGGCTATTAACAAGCACTGCTAAAATAATTGGTGCATTCATCTGAGCAGAAGTGTTTCAGCATTGCTTACGGAGTGAGAATTTTTCTCTTCTCTGGGTTTGACAGATAATCTAAGTGTACTGTAAAGTTGTAGTGAAAGTGCACGTGTGTTTGGATATGTACTTTCCAATGTAACTTGATCACTGACTGATTACTCGTTTCTCTTTGTTATTGACTGTACCAAAGATTCTTGGCCTAAGCGTCACATTCACTACAACAAAATCTCCCCACTGACCATTAAAGGGAAAGTTTATTCACATTTTCAACAGCCTCACCATAAATTGCTCAGCGGAGTAGAGATGTTACATAAGAAACTTGAATACAGTTTTACAGATGTAGCTGTGGCAGGTTCAGAGCAACCGCAGCAGGCCAGGTGGTTGGAACAATGTACTTCAGACTGTGAGTGCAATGACATGGACATGAATAACCTGTTTATGAGGCTTATTCTGGTTATAATCATATTCGGGATATGGAGAGAAATCAGGTTATTCATATTCCCCAGTTACATCCTTGTTTCTTCCAGAGTACTCCAGCTAACATATGCAGGTTTCTCATAAACGGAACATGGTGTTTACATGCTCAAACATAAACAGAATACTCCAAAAACCCGATCATAAACGGGTCATTCATGACATCTCCATTCTGAGTTATCTCTATTCTGAACTAGCAGTCATAGTCTGCTCTGATTGGTTTCTGCATCCCTGCAGTGAAAGAAACTACATCACACTAACATGTTAGCTTTGCAATGCAACCCCGAGACTGCAGATGAGCAGTAGTTGAAAAGCATTTGCTTGAGACAAACATCATTTCAAGTAGGCTTTTCAATATATGATTGATGCTTCTCACTCTCACTGTTCCTCTTCTGCATATGACTGGACCGATACACCACTTTGCTTTTGATTTTCAGTCTGAATACAATTTGCAAGATAAGCTGGAAAGGCCCAGTTTTATATCTACGGTACTTTCTTTATCACAGTTGTTAATGAGCCAAAGAAATGACTTGATTGGCAACTTACTGGTTTATCTGATATGTATCTGACTTCTACAAAAATACTTGTAGAGATGTTTTTTAGACCTAAATCTTACAGAAAAATGTAACTTGATAAAACTATTCATACAATATTTGCTTTGTGTTTTTGACTTATAAAACAAATTGACCTACAGAAGCCCATCAGCTCCATATTCCATGTCATAAAACATAGAATGGCTTTTAATATGGAGTGATGTTATAGCCTTAGTTTTAATTCTGTTTCAAATCACTGGTTTTAACATTATTTTGTCTCTGGTGTTCATTTTATTATTATATTTATTCTATTGACTTTTATTTATGATTTTAACATAATATTGTTTTAATTTTTAGTCTTGTAAAATATTATTTATTGTTGTTGTTTTTTCTTCTTTTTTTGAGCTGCATGTTTGTATGAAAGGGGCCATATAATTAAATAAAGTTAAGGTTGAAATAAAAAAGTTCCAGCACTGCTCACAGAGTTTAATTGATAAATATCTGGTGCAAAGCACTACAGCAAAAAAAAAATAATAATAATAATTTAAAAATCGAGACAAAATCAAGATAAACTCAGAGTGCAGACCTCCACCAAGTAGGTGATATTCCCTCCCCCTCTGCATCAGATTTTGCAGCCTGCATCACAATTAGGTTATTTGCATCACTATCATTATTAAGTTATATATGCCTTCACCATGGAGACACTGTGGTGTATTTATTTTGTTTTTATTTTGTACCAACACAGAATATAATATGTTTTTTGTATTTTTCACTTTCCTTTTTTCCAAACACAGAACATTAATTAATCCCCCCTAATAATAATAACGGCCAACCGGTGGTGCACGTCTGGTCATGGAATGAGTCTATTCTAAAACTCGGTGAATACACAATGCTATTTAGCTCTTTTTTTATTATTTTACCACTTTGCTTCAACCGATCACCACCAAAATTTTATCATCTGTTCCTTGTCCCATTATCCACCTTTCCTGAAAATTTTATCAAAATCCGTTCATTACTTTTTGAGTTATTTTGAAGACAAACAAACAGACAAGCTAGAGCACTCAGAGAGCGGAGACCTCCGCCAAGCAGCTCAGATTTCCCGCCATTTTATATTATGTTATCCACTTCGCTTCCACTGATCACCACCAAAATTTTATCATCTGTTCCTTGTCCCATTACCTTTCCTGAAAATTTCATCAAAATCCGTTCAGAACTTTTCGAGTTATTTTGCAGACAAACAAACAGACAGAAAACGTAACCTTCTTGGTGGAGGTAATAAAAATAGATTTCCACAGTTGACTCACCTGGTCTTTTTCCGGTTTGTCAGAAATGTCGTTCAGGCTGCTGGAGGTCAGGTTCCGGTGAGTTGTGGTAGGACTATCTATAAGAACATATCAAGTCTGTGTGGTTAGATCGGCTTCAACTTCACCAGGATCTAAGAAATTAAGAAGGGGGAAAAAGGATGGCAGACACCCAAGAAAAGGCAGTGGCCCAGATAGTTTGCTCCCCATGCAGCACCGAAAAGAATAACAAGAAAATAGTGATCAAAAGCATGAACAGATCTCAGCCACCAATAACCTTCAATAAAGGCTGGAGCACAGCAGAGGACAAATTCCTTAATACTCTCTACTCACTAGTCAAGTAAACTTAAAGTCTGAAAATTTCAAATTAACTAGATTAAAGCTGTTCTATTAAAGGTTAGACGTCAGCAATTTCCAGATGTGCATGTTCAGTGGTTTCTGATATAGAATTTAATGCACTACATTGCCAAAACTAGCTCAAAAACAACTGGTGCATCCATTCTTACTCTGAAAATTCAAGAGCTTTCCTGTTAGAATATCTGATCATCTTAATGTCCATCTTTCACATCAAAGACTAAGTGCTTTCTTCATGTGAGGCAGGTGAACAGCAGACTGTGATTGATGCACTGCTGACTTTTGGTTTCAGCTCGTCAACTCCAGCATCAGAGATCTGACAGCAGAACGTGACCTTACTGCAGCCCCGGAGCTGTCAAGAAGTATGAGACGTTATTCAGAGAGGTGCAAATCTCAATGAGAGCAAATTCTGATGCCACTGTAGCCTTTCATGAATCTGCCCCCTGAGGATTGTGGGTAATAACTTGCTTGTCAGTATGATGCAGCCAGTATATATGATGACACTGTAGTACTTATATTGACTACATACAGAAATAAAAGGGGGAAAACAAATAAATCTAAAGGGAAATCATCAAATCTTAGCTAAATATAGCTGTTATGTATTGGAGGAGAAAAAACTAAAACTGAAAGGAATGAAAAACTATTTAATTACACTATTATATAAAGCACATACAGATGGGAACTGCCACTGCATTCAACACACTAAGTCTGAATGACAGGTGACATTTTACACTACAGGTCATGACTATGTTCAAACTGCAGCTGAAAGTGTTCCAGTTCTGTTTTCACTCACATGTGACACAAATGCTGCACAGTGATATTTCCCAATTCCTGTCTGAGTCACATGGCATGACTTTATCCTACAAAGTGAGAACTGAGGCATCTGACCAAAAAGTATAATTTTGGTGTCTTGGCTAGGGTTGGGATCCGGATCCGGTTCTTTTTTGGAAATGGGTTCAAAGTTCCGGTTCCAGAACCGGTTCCATCACATTTGGCGTAACGGTTCCTGCAAACGGTTCCTAGATTGTACAAAAAATAAATAAATAAACCGTCACGTGCATTTCCATTAGAGTGCGGTACGGGCATATTTCTGTCCGAACCCTACCGAGCCCGACATTATCTAATCACTAAAGCACTGAGTTTGTGTCACATAGTTGTCATGGTTACAGGTTACAGGCCGGGCGCGCGCCAGGTGCTCAGCGGAGAGAGACCTCCGTGTTTGAGACGGGAGCGGGCGACGGGAGCGGGCAGCGGGAGGTCCGACGCTTCCAGCGAGGGGAGAGGGAGAAATAAAACAAAATAAGATAAAATAGGAGACACCTGTCTCCCTCTTTTATTTAATTTTCAGCGTTTAATCAAGGCGGAGGCTGGCGGCGGGAGGGGAGAGGTAGAAACAAACAGCCAATGTGTGTCTGTGTGTGTTATGTTCAGGTGTTGTCACGTAAATAACAGTGCCCAAGCATGAATGCATATAAGTATTTTTTATTACATTATTGTGGTTAATTTTAATAGTGTTACTGTAGAAATCAGAGAATCACTTTTTGTTGTTATATATTCTCAGGGAGATGATACAAGCCCTAAATCTGAAATACACACCACACACAAATGTGTATTTTCATCTAATTGTACTGTGCAACAGTTAGAATAAAGTTTTTGTATTTGTATGATTGCATTTGTGTTTATTATATACTTGTTTAAGTATAGCAAGTATAATGAATATAATGTAGGAATCGGTAAGAGGAATCAGTAAGGAATCGGACCATTAAGAAGGAATCAGTAAGGAATCGGAATCGTTAAAATCCTAACGAGTCCCAACCCTAGTCTTGGCAGATTGGATGAGCGAGCATTTCATATATGGAAGACAGCGAGATAACTGGGAAAAATGCACTAGGGTCGGACCACTGGACAAATATATCTGTGACTGGCTGACTATGTGCCTGCTGGTTTTGTGATTAATTTCTGTAATTTTATTTTGCTAATTTAATGGTCTGCCTCCAAACAACAAGTGAAAGCAGTTGCTTAGCTGGCGATGGTCTGGCTATGCAACACATCTTAGCGACAGACTCTCACTCAGCAAGCTAACCCTGCAGCACAAGGAGGCCAGCAATGGCAGAGAGAGACAACAGAGAAAACCAGCGTGAGGAGCCGGCATATTTTCTTATCTGACTTGGTGAGTTAAGGGTTTATTTAATTCAAATAAGAGTAAATGATTCTTGGAACGATGAAATGCCAAAGTGTTTTATGATGAGTTAAGACGGCAGTTAAGCTACTCTTAGTTTGGTGTAACTTAAATTCATAAGGTGTGCAATTGTTTAATAAGGAGAATACATCTAAAAATATTTCCTTTCTTGACATTTTGTGAGTTTATTTTCTTTATTCTTGATTTAAAAAGCTAAAAGAGCTTGTGGAATATAGCTAACTTGGCACTTGAACACATCTCCCAGCTGAGGACTAAAGTTAAGGGCGAATATATTGGAAACCAGCAGATGTTGTTCTGACAGTGGCCAGTTGTAAAATTTACATGTTTGTTTTTTTAAAGATGCCTCAGTTTAGTGTAAATAGTGTTCAAATATAAACTCTTTGGTTAATGTTTCTGTGCCTACAAATACGAGCCGTGATTCGAAAGTGATAGGTGGTCTGCAGTGTGAACGTAGACTGGGTCCAGTTAACTTACTAAGCCAGTCCATGCTGGTACTCCTTTGGGTCTGCAAGTCCTCCATTGACACGCGAGTCGACAGGCAAGTCATAGAGGTCTCAAGAGGACTACGAGCTTTTAGTAGCAGCAGCAGGTTATCAAACCAAATCCAGATAAGCAGAAAAGGAGGAAAAAGAGATGATAGACAAGCCCATTGAGTCAAAGCATGAGATTTGTTAGGAGAACACAATCAAGTGGTTAAAAGGTATGTCATTTTTATCTGTATTTTTACAAGCTGTGCAGAGGAGTAAGGTAAGAGGAGTGGCATTATTAACTCAGGAGACCATGGGTCATTGGACAGGAATACTTTGGCAGGACTCAAAATGAATTTTAATAAGGATGTTGTTTGTTTTGACAAGAATGTACTTTATCCTTGTGAAGTTGTTATCAATTAATGATTATCAGTAAAGCTCTCTATCTTAGAACTGTGATGTTGATTAGAGGCTCTGCCTTTTATGTTATGAGTTTCCATTTGAACACAAAGTCGATCATGAAGAGAGAGAGCTTCTTTTTTTTTGATAGAGTCATAAACCGGTTTCATAAATCAGGTAATAAATAACTTCACTTTCCAAAGACCCATGTCTGGTAACAGATTAATTACATTGTCAACACAGTGAAACATCTAGTTACTCAATGTAAGAGAGAGCACTCATACACGTGTTGTTAACATCAGTTAGACATCAGTGTGTTTCAGGGCTGTCACTTTGCTTTAAATTTCGATTCTTTAGAGACTAAAGCCCTACTCACACGGGACTAGCTTTCCCAGGAACGTCATAAGATTTAGAAATACCCCCACCCACATTTGAGAGTAGTGTGGTGCATTCATACAGGAAAGCAAAGTCAGCATTTTACTCACATGTACTGACATTATCCCCCAGATACGTAACGCCACTCGACACAACAGAGAAACACTGCACAGCACCATTAGCAGAGATGTACAGCGATAACATTATATAAAATGTGGGTTAAACAAAAAGAACCAGTTCAGCCACACATTTTTACTTCATTCATCTCACCATCTTTCAACATTTTTCCTGTTTTAATGGATTTGAGCTTGCTTTTTCTGCAAACTGGTCTCCACGCTGTGTAGCAAGAGAAGCCTCCTGAACCCAAAATGCTGTCGAAACTTTCATTTATATTTGCCAACACAGCCCCCCCCTAAGTCTCAATTGGGAATGAGGCAGGGAGAAAAACAAAAAACTCAAATACTACCCCAAATCACAGAGATGCTGATTTTCTGATTTACACGGGACTACAACTAACACCACGATGTGTTTGGCAAAATGTGGAAGGGAATGCGCAATAGGGTTTCTACTTGACAGATAACGGACATGGCAGATTTGCATTGCACAGGTGTCCACCAAAACGTCTTACACTAGCTGACAATGCCAGGCGCTCCTTAGGAAAACTGGGAGCACCTTGGAGGTGCAGCGTTTTTCCATCTGTGATGCTATGGTTGCATCTGGTTGGTGTGATACAGAATATCCATGGAATAAAAATGTCAGCACAAGGAAGCAATCAGATGTCTGAGTAAAAAATAAGCGCAGTGTGTACCCAAGGTTGAATCATTTTCAACTCTCAGCACTCAGTAAAAAATGGCAAATGTGCAGTGCTCAGCACAGAATAGACGCTCAGTGCGACATCGCGCTGCTGGCGTTTGTAGCGTAGCATAAATACGCGGTGCTCCCATTGCCAAGAGTTAAAAGAGAAAACATTTTGGAGGACACGGCCCCTGCGATCCCAGAGGACCGCCACAATTATTACAAATTACTGGAAGTCCCCAGGTAAAACTAGTGTCGTGTGAATATGGCTCAATTCAATATTCTATTTGCTGCTGTTTAAAAAAGTTTAACAAGGTTTTTACTTCCAGTTCTGTGCTGCTGTCAGAGGAAAATATTCATTAGTTGCTCAATTTCATTAACAAAGGATTTTGCAACAGAATGAATTTCAGTGAGCCTTACATGCATAATACAGCAGATAGATAATAATTCCATTTCATACAGTCAGTTAAGCCTTTTTAATTGTTTTATCACTTATTTGTGTACTTTTTGCATGAATTCGAACTCAGTTTGTCTTTGTGATAGTTTGTCTTGGATAACTTTCAGTGAAGCAAAGTGACAGCCCGCCCTGTGTGAGGAAAAGAAGGGTTACATACTGCTGTAAATAAAATGAGTTCTCAAAAATGTCAACAAAATTAAAAGTTAATGAAGTGAGAATCAAATGAACATGTATCAGCTACTTCAGAGATTCTGACTGCTTTAAATGTCATCTCTATTTGTCATATCCTATCAATTACTGGTCAGTTTTATGATCTGCCACAGCCTTGGACTTTTCTCACCTAGTGTCATAAATTAATGCAATAAACTTTATTCTACAGTGTCAAAATTTACAGCTAAAGTTAATTTGATATTAGCTCTACTTGTTCTTACAGCGGCAGATCAATTAAGTCTAATGCATCTATGAATGCAGTTAGTACAGGATTCGACAGTGAGTACTTTAAAAGTGCTGTTAGAGTGACATCACAAAATGTTTGTGATGAATTAGCAAAAGACATCTACAAACTTTAGTTTCATTAATTCAATGACAGGTTTAGTGAGCAACTAATATTACCATAGTAGCACAGATGTTAATATTTCAAAATATAGCATAAGGCCCAAAATTTCTGATGATGTCTTCAATAAATAAAAGTTTTCCAGCATCTACTGAGGAGAGCTGGTACTTATTTAGGACTCTCAAGTGCCACATTAGTGGGTTCATGCAGAGGAGGGCAGCAGTGTGTCCTTTATCACACACTCCTCACTACTGTCACTACACACCTCAGGTCCTAAATTTAAGTGATTAAAAAAAATCTATATTAACCCTGTATTGCAGGAATGTGCCGCTAAATCTATTATAAAGTAAAATAGCTGATGTTGTGTTTTTTTTTGTTTTGTTTTTTTAACATCATTAAAAAAAAAAAAGAAGACTGCACCAAACTGGCATCAGTATTACCGTTTTCCGGGTTGGAAAACAGCCTACTTGCACTGGAGACCGTCTTGCCAATGTCAGCCAGAGAGCGCAGGTTGGACTTCTTGGTCTGGTGACGATGTTTCCGTAGCAACGTGTACATCACTTTGTCCTTCAGTTCTGGTTTCAGCTGGCCGATCTCTATCTGGTTGTCAGTGATCATCTCTGAAGATGCAGAGAAAGAGGGGGAGGGAAGGAAAGATGATTTCAGTGTTATTCTGGAGAGAAGAAAATTTGGCAACTTGAGAGTTTAACCACACTGAATATAGGAAAGGACCAACTACACTGTTACACCCAAAAACAACTTGAATCCAAAGAGACGTCTTACGGTTTCTTATTTTGTTGGACCAACAGTTAAAATCCCCTATTTACTCATATAAAATGGCATTAATTTGGAAAAGGAAAGCCAGCAAAGCCTCGATGTCAGCATGTGGTAATTATTGAATGCTCGGTATTTTTACTTTACATGTAACATAAGCATATAAAGAATTTATCAGAATTGCTATAAATAATTTTTTAGTACTTAACTCCATTATTCAAGAAATTTGAGACAAAAACAGCTGAAGTTCAGAGGGCCGACTACACTAAACAATACGAAAAACAAATGAACAGATACCATAAAAAAAGATGCATGTTGCCCAAAATTAAATTCTGCTATTTGTTAAATTATGTTTTCATTTTGGGTCTATTTTTTCCCTTCATGCAACATTTTACCCAACAGCCTTAATTTAGCAACAACATTACTCAAAGCAAATAACTGAGTCACTATATAAAGTCTCTTCATAGTTGTAAGGGCTCAATTAGTGCCACCCAGACTGTACTGTAATGCTCCTGTATGAAAGTCTATTCATGGCATCATGAAACAGCTCAATCAAAAGGTCCTGCCTATTTTTAAAAAGAAGGTCAGAAGCCTGAATGCTGACAGATAGCAGCCTCGGGGAGTTTCTCTTCTTGTGTAGGGGCAGTGCTGTTAATGGTCCATCAGTCAAGTCTGTTGGCCTCAAAGCAAGAGGCCCAGCTCCGCTCGGCTTCTACAGTCCACACAGCGCACTCAATTACTTCACATTAATCACTCCAAGTGATAACTCTTCCCCCTGCTCCCTCACGCAGACAAAAACGAAGGGGTCCTCAAATTAGGACGTTTTTGTGTGACCATTTGCAACCTACTATTTGAGTCCCTCTGTGTACTAACATAAAGTACAGTGCAGGCTGGACTTGACTTGGGGCTCTGAACTTTTGCTACTCTTAAAGCAAAGAAGAGGAAGGAAGGAAACCTCTGATCCCCTGTGTGTGATGTGCAACAATCCATAAACCTGCACGCAACACTACAGAGCAGCTCTGCATATACTGTACATCATCAAGCAGATCAAATCAAACTGGCAGACGGGTTCTCAGCTGACCTTCATCAGTGTCACTGTAACAGTAAAATAAATGCATACACATTAAAAACATGTAGAAAATGCAGTATAGTTGAAACACTAATTGAACACTACATGATTATGACATTAAAACTAAATCTTTCTGAGAACCTAATGGCAACCAGACTGTTTCTTTTTAACAATCTAACAACAAAATGTTTACCTGAGTGTATCTTGTAATTGATGTATTTGTCAATGGCGTTTAATTGTTTTACATAATTTCTGCTCCTGGGAAGTAATGCATTATTAAGGCTGTTTATGTGATTATGTTTAGGCACTTGGTTGAGAAAGGGAAAACATCATGACCATGTTAAAGGTCCATCAGAAGGATTTAGGAGGGTGTACTGGCAGAAATGGGATATAATATAATAACCTATCATGTTCTTTTTAGTGTATAATGACCTGAAAACAAGAATCGTTGTGTTTTCATTACCTTAGAATAAGCCTTTTATATCTACATTGAAAGCAGGTCTTTGTCCACAGTGTTTGCCTTATTGCACTGCCATGTTTCTACAGTAGCCCAGAACGGTCAAACCACCACAGAAAACTCACTCTAGATAGGGCCACTTGTGTTTTGTGTTGGCCACTGTTGTTAGCAGGCCCTCCATAACAAGCAACATTGGAAAAACAATGTTTATTTTTTTCCAAGAAACAACTTTATACATTTTTTTTTACCGGTTTACATCACCAGGTTCATTTGTTTTGGGGAGGAAGAGGCCTCTGCAGATAATTCGGCTCCTGGTAAAAACCTCTTCTGCTTCATTCAGTGTTTTAACCGTTTTAAATCACCAGATCTGTTTGTTTAGGAGGAGAAGAAATCCCTGCAGATAATATAGCTCCCAGTAAAAACCTCTTGAACCATGAAATGTGAAGGAATTCTTACTGGGAGAAGTTTCAGCTGACTGCAGTCTGTAATCCTCACTGCTAGATGCAACAAAATCCCCCTAAATCGTACACATTACTTCTTAAGGTACTGTACTGCTGAGGTCTGGGTAAGGTTACCTGACTTAACACTTGGTTATGGTTAAAAGGACACTCCACAGATTTAACGTGTCAAAATTAATTTGGTAGTCATGGGAAGTAATACTCAGTCTATGTAAACTGTTTTAAATGTCCTCTGTGGCTCTGGTAGACTTTGCCAAGTCTGACAAAACTTAAGTAATCTCAGTCTGCATTTAAAGAGGACAAATTAATAACAGACAGCCTGTGTTACAAAATGATGACGTAGAGTTTGAAAGACAAATGAAGCAGGGAAAGTCTAATGACAGTGCTCTCTATCAAGGTGCATTATGGGAAGTGTAGGATCCAGGGGGTTTGGAGTTTTTTGTTTTTAAAGTGGTCTCTTTCAAGTCTCCAAACTTTATAGAAGTGCAGCTAAAAAGTATAAAAATCATTTGCTTCACCCAAAAAACGAATAACCTTTTACAGCGTATACCAATGACAAAGCACGTCTTACAATGTACCAAAACATGAACATAACCTGGGTGGCATCGTTACATTTCCTCCAAAAACACACGTGCTAATCCAAATACTCTACAGCCAAATGTAACGCAATTTATCTTGTTGCAGATCTTGCAGAAGTTGTCTAATGACCTGCAGCCAACTTACCAACAACCTGAGGTAGAGTGGAAGCTTCCATGTCCAGCATGATGGTGCCTTTCTCTATGCACGTCCGCAGCTCAAAAAGGCTATGTAAGGACAACGTGGCCACGTGGGGTTTACTCCAGCGTTCACCTCCTTTCTCCACCTTCTCCTCAAACTTGATCCACCTAGAGGCATGAAAAAGGGAGGGAAAAGACTGGATTAAACTGGGAACTAGCTGACAATATTAATATATTATATACCATAATCTTGTTAGTACTTAGCAGTGCAATTCTATTTATCAAAGAAACATAAATAATAAAATAAACTGAAGTCATTTCTAAATCATAAAAAGCATCTTGTGTCTTGTGTATTGAGTTGTGATACACGAGCAGGTTAAAAAGAGTTGATGCCAATTTACCTGGAAACTCGCCACCTTTCAAATTAAATATGACAACATGTAAGCAATGCACATATGTATGTCATCTTTGTCCATACAGTTGAGGTTTTGCAGCTGCATAGCAACCATTGAAAAGAAAGAGCAGAGGGCATCTGAAAATGATCTTGTGTGGGTAAGGATTATATGTATGTGGCACCTGACAGTTGAAAAGAGATGTGGAAAATACGGTAATCATATCACTGAGAACAGGCGTGATACATTGTCAAATGTTTATACATTCAAAGGGAATTCAATTCTTGCTTGACTTCATGGTTAAGGTTAATTCAGAAGCAGTATTATAATTTCTGTTTTCCTCATGTATTTATTTAATCAATCCCCCTCCCCCTCCCTCAGTGTCAGGGAGATGAGAAACTGAACCGGTACTGAGAAGTTGCTTCTATACCAGGGTTTTATTTGCCCAGTTTTTGGCTGCCAAAATTGCACTTGGCAGACAGCCAGTACTACCCAGCACTTGTGAGATCTTTTATTCATTTTGAGTCCACTGAGTGCACTTGGTGAGACACTGGACCGAGTCTTAATCTCTGCAGCTATTTGCAGAATAACAAGTTTGACATTAAAGATGCAGGATTGATTTATTTCACCTTTGTAAGCAATATATCCACATTAAGTAAGTAGCAGACTCGTTTTTAAAGGTTCTGGATCTGTAGACCTCTTTTAACCTCTTTAACCCTGCTGATCCTCTTGTATTGATTTCTAACTTGTTTAATTTTATTGTGGTACTTGAGGAGAAACTCTTGGCTGCAGAAAAACTGCTGCAGTTTTCACCATCACTTATACCCTATTTGGTTGAGAAACTGTCTTGTCTTATGCCTTTATTTAAATGTTTTTTTTTTCCTTAATATTTAAATAGTAACACTAAAACACAGTTTTGTTCTCCCTGTATGCTGAATAATGTATATTATGAGAATAAAAATCAATTCTCCCTCATACCTTGAAAAACAATGCAAAGATAAAAGTTGGTCAGTTATTGATAATGAGTTTTTTCCAGATGGTTGTCATAGTCAATAATTCTCAAGACCACAGTCTCAAACGGCACAATAAACTTGCATTACATTTGCATTTTTAATGATGCTTATTTTGTCCAATCCAGGTTGAACTTAGGTTCATTCATACCTGCACACTTTAATTTTGACAGAATGACTCAGTTAAGGGTCATCTGTGCTAATTCTTCACCAATCTAGTATCAATTCCCTGTTTGCAACACAAGCTGGATAAACATATCAAAACTTGGCCTTAAAAAGTTTTCTTGAGTGAGTAGAAGCACTTTTTAACTATACTGAAAGACTTTGACAGCAGAGTTCTTCTCAAGAGTTCCTCTGCAAATTATTCAACCAACAGTGAACCAAAATGTAACTTCTATCTGCAGCACAATTGGTCAGAGGTTAGGATAACTCATTTGGAGCCTCAAACAGCAGCCCAGGGATCCAGTTTCCCCCTGGCAGAGCTTCACTCATCCAACACTAATGATGTATATAAACAATCAGCCCATTTCTATCCCATCCCATCCCATCCCATCCCACTAGTGGGCCACACAGGAGAAACCTGTGAAACCTTGTGAGCTCGCTTTTGACCCTGCTTCAAATTCAATGCACACAGCTAATTCCCTGATGTTAGAAGAACTGATTTTAGACTGACAACTAGCTAAAGTTTACAAATGTTTGTTCAGTTATTTGGCTCTGGGCTGGCTATTAAAAACTATTATAAGCACTGAAGTAAAAGTTTTTGAGGTGAATTTGAAGAAAATAATTTTTACAAGAGCAAGAATTCTGTTTGTTACTTATTTTGAATAATTAAGTGAAAGGCAATGGAGAACATCATTATTACTGTAAAATCAAAGATGCACACGGGAACTTTGAGAGGAAGTCTGAGATTGAGGTCTTTACCTGGCCGTCTCCTTCCACTCCATCTCCTGTCCATCCACCGACAGCAGCTCATCCAACTCAGTGAAGAGTTGGGGGGGTGATGGGCCGTCATCCTCCTCACCGAGGATGAAGCGGATCCTCTCGGCTGCTGGTGAGACTGCGGAGAGAGGAAAAATACTTCGGTTCATAGGCTGACAATGGTGCCCATTGGGCAAAGGTTTGGGCACTGGCTTCCCCTCCTCAGCTGGACCCTTCCCATTGACCTCAGGAGGAGGTGGAGGTGGTGGGATTTTCACCATGACCTCCTCTCCTTTCTCTTCTGTGTCATCTTCCTTTTCCTCTTTCTCCTCTTGGTTATTGTTGTTGTTGGACATCTTTAAAAACTCAGTGCCCCCCCTTTACTCTCCAAATCAGCTGACCCAGGGTTTGCTCCTCAGATAGAGAGCTACACAAGCTCATCAGAGTCGCAAAGCAGCAGCTAAACCCTCATTAAAGTCTCGGGTGGAAGTGACAGCCGCTCTCAGCTGCCTGCTCCAGCACTTTGTGGACCAGGTAGGAGGGGGCCGATGGGGTTTAGGGGTCCCCTCAGTGACAGTGTCCCCACAGCTAGCCCCTTTTCCCCCCCCCCCCCCCCCCCCCCCCCTTCGCTGTTCAAACAGGCTTTCGCCATTGGCCCTCCAGCCTTGGCAAGCTGCCCTGGAGCCCCTCATTAACAATTAGGAAATGGTTCACAAACTGGCCTATTCTTTCGCACAGGCTTGGCTTTCCTTCCCCTTGTCTTCTCATTTGAATATTTAGAGAGCAACACAAATAGAATTTCAACATGGTTGATATACAAACTATACTTTTCAGAGCTATTCAAACATGTTGCAAACAGTCAACACCATCATGACTTGTTCCAACAAGTGGTAACAATATTTGCACTTTGAATGGAGAGCCTAAAAAAAGTAACAACCCCTTTAGTGAAAGCAAGTCCATCCTGTAGAAAACTGTACACTAAGATTATTATCATCAGCAAACAGCCACACAACATCAGTGTATGGGGTATCATTGGAGCTAAAGCTTACACAGATGAAACAATGGCATCTGATCAAACAAACAGACTGCTAATGGGTAAAAAATGCTCATCTCTAATGCACATGTCACATGATGGATATTGATGTTAAATCAGTTTTTCAAAGACTAAGCTTGGAAACAGTTCGCTGCGCCTCCAACATTGGCCACGTACCCTTATTCTACCTGAATTGAATTAAGATTCAACTGACAAGCACAAACTGCTCAGCCAAACAATAGTCAATGGACATTTTACAGCAGACATCTTGACTTATCACAGCTGGAAACGCACAAGTGTAACTTCTAACATTTATGAAGGCTCAACTCCATTAAAGGCCCTAGATTGGGTTGCATCGGTTATTCATAAATCCAGTTCTAAGTCTGAGCATACAGTCATTCCAAAGTCCTTAGTAAATTCAAATGTGTACTACCAATACACAAGGAACCAGGCTGATGGCACATGGTACACAGACAATACCTTCTGAATGACAGGGGGAAAAACAAACAATCCGATAGAATGGCAGGTCAATAACACAAAACATGCATGACGATATGCTGCAATGGTGATACTGTATTTTTTTTACAACAAATGGAAAAACACATATTAAATACATACATTTCATATTTATTATATTATGTAATATTTCTGGTAATATCCAGTAAGTGCCAGGATTGCTGAGTTTCCATCTTGTGTGAAGCAGTTATGCAACATCCAGTTGTAAATTCCATGGCAGAGGATGGCAAAAAGTTATAGTTATAACATTTAGGTAGTTATAAATTTTCTAACTTTGAAGGGCAATGCCATTGAGCGCTACCATGGAAGTATTTTCTGTCAGCCTCACCTAATTTCACCGTCCTGTTCTTGTTCTAAATAATAATATCCGCTTTGCTGTTTACCGACTGCCTGATTCCATGTGAACTCAACCTAATACACAGAGATAGTAGAATATACAATTTTATTGTGAATTGCAAAAACACTCATAAACTGATCACGATGGTTTATCATTTTTGGGATAATTGTGTATATAACAACTTTGAGAGACTCTGCAAAAATGAGCTGCATACAAGGGTTGCAACTGTATACTGGTTTCAAGGTTTAATGTGATATTAAAATTGACAGTTATCATACTGTGTACATTTCCATGTCTACAATACTGGGGGGGGGAAAGCAACTGGACAGAAAATCTCATCTTTATTATAGTTATTTTCAAAAGGGAGACTTTTCATACATACTTCCATTAAAAATGTTTTCAAGTTTCAAATATAACCCCTTTGTTGTAATTCCTTCAAGGGTCATTGTGACTGATGATAATAATTCTGTAATACCGTGATACCTTGAAACCGCAATAGTTTCTGAGGCGGCTATCGTACTGTGAAAATCTCATACCATTGCAACCCTACTGCATACACACCAACCTCAAAAAACGCAAAGGTTCTTAATCAAGCATTGGCATATTTCATAATGAAACATCTGATGCAGTTTCAAGTAGTTGTTTTCAGGTTGTCCACTAGAAAAAGATGCGCCCTATCTGTGATACAATATAAATATTAACTATATGTAAAATAAAGTCATCAAGTATGTTTTTATGGTATTTTAGGAGTTTTAAGCATATTTTAATGATTATGGTGATGATATCATGAATCACAATTATTTTGGCCACGATAACCGTGACATTAAAGCTTTCATGTTGTCCAATGCCTATTATAAACTGCATACTGATCATGTGATGTAAGAATTTGCTTCCTTATATAAATAAGGGGACCATCAAAGGGAACCAGACAGTGATCTGGGTTTTGTCATTTTTAAAAAGGACTGGAAGTAAACTGCATCAGCTCCTTCAAAACTTCATGTTAATAAACTGTATAACTTCTATGTCACATTTTGTCTTAATCTGATGGAAGTATTAGTTTGCACAAATAACACAATAATTCAGCAGTAAAACTAACTTTAAATGTTTTGTAATGTTCTGCAATTAGCTATACTTGCTAGAATATACTGATTTAGGAGGCAAATTGACCATTGTAGTGTTGTGGCTGTGTGCTCTTGTGCTGCACATCTATCCTTGTGAGGACCACTTTGAGTGAGTTTTTTTGGTTTGGAAAAGGTGGACATTTTGTCTGGTCCCCATATCTTTTTGAGGGTTAAGACTTAGTTTTAGGGTTGGGGTTGGGGTTAGAATAAGGTTTGGCTTAAGAGTATGAGCATATAGTTGTGATGGTTGAGGTCAGGGTTATGGAATGCACAATGTCAGCAAGGGTCCTCACAAGTACAGGAGCACAAACGTGTGTGTGTGTGTGTGTGAGTAATCATAACAAAGCTGCTTGATTTGATTACGTAACAGGTTGCTAATACTGTGGCACCAGGAGGCTGAATATAGATACTGAATACACTTACATATCTATCTTTATTCACCATTATACAGTTCAGTTTCCCTTGGACTCCTAAAATTAATAACTAGCAGGTTCTGTTAGTGACCACACACCTGGTAAAAGGGAAATTATCTGTGCTATCCCAATCTGACATAAATTCATTAAAATCTCTCTGCAATACAGAGAAAGGACAATAATCCAGTGCTGAATCTTTAACAGGACCTTTCTTTGCGGGTGAAATTTAGACATTTACATACACACCACTTAACATTACACCAGAAACCACATTGAGCCATCCATTCATTCATTCAGTCAGCCAGCAGCAGTAAGTGTTCAAAAATGTTTCCCCCTATTATGTTTTCTGCAGCTCAATAACAACGGCAGAAGGTACGAGCCAGACAAGCAGCTGTAAGATTACTAGGTGGAGGATAAACTGTCTGCTGGCACACATTCATACGCGCACACACACACACACACACACACACACACACACACACACACACACACACATTTCCACAAGCTGTAACTAGCTTAAGTCACTGCAACCTGTTTAATAACACCTTGGGTGGAATAATTTACATGTGCGTTTCACACATTTAGCTGACACTTATATCCACAGCAATTTATGCTGATTACAGTAAACAGTTAACACAAGCTTTAAATACCTATATGCCCAAAACTGCATGCAAACAATAGCAAGCAGTGCAATGAGAGGGTCAAAGCTCTTGGGGATGTTGGCTCTCACGCTGCCGTTTTCCTTAAATGTGCAGACAATTAAATAAAAAGTGGTAAAGAATCACAGTAACAGCAGGACAGTGCTGTTTTCTTTCCAAAGAACAGCATGAATTAGTTTAGCACAATAATATAATGTTTTCTTCCCCATGAAATCAAAGTAAAGATACCCTGCTGAAGAAAGACATTATCCTGGCAGAAATAAATTTTGGCATGAGATCAGGAAAAGCTACCTGACACCCAGGGTTTACTGTAAGGCTGTCACATTCTGGTCAGTTGGTTGACTGGTTGGCCAATACGCTCTTGTCCAACCAAATCCTTACTACTTACTTGGTGTTACTTTAATAAGGCTGTGTGTTCACCAAAGCATTTCTTTTCCAAGCTGAAAATGGCAGTTCTTGTTCAGCACTTGTAAATGTCCTACATTACGGTTGGACTTTGTGGTATTTGTCCCACCCCTGCTCCACTGTGATTGGAGGATTGGTGACACTGGCAAAAACAACATTTTACCCCAACTTAAACATTTTTTATCTCTTATTTTAAATCGGACAACAGATAAATAATCACATAAGACGTTCAGTGTCAGAGTACATCATGGTCTCCAAAAAGACACTACGGTTGAAGGCTGGATTATAAAGCTTCTGAAAGGCATAGGATCACACCAGAAACCTTGTTGGAGCAACACAATGGCTAACGTCAGCTACTGGGCTAAAAATAGTAAGTCTATCTCTTGCATGTAGTGTTACAGAGCTATTTACCATCAGTAATATTGTGTTGTATATGACACTGTCAACCCCATATGTCAGATTTTTTTTTTTTATTAGTCCTGTTCAACACTTGGACTCATGCTCACAGCTCAGCTGGAAGCTGCATGTTTTCAAACTACAGCCTATATATTTTAATTTCACTAATAATATCAATTGAAATTTAGCATTCTCAATGTTTTACGATTAAGGAATAAGTAGCAAAAGGAAGGAGGCAGGAAAGAAACATATTTTTATG